AGGGTCTGTACTTGATTCAAGATCCAGCTGGCTGGTGTGTGGGCACCTGGGGCCAGGGGGGTTGGGAGGGCGTGGAATGTGGGCAGGATATCCAGTCCCTAGCCCTACCCTGCTCTACCTCTGCATTCCTTTTCCCTCCGGCCTTAGCATCCCCATCTGCAAACAGCACAGAGGCCTCCTCCTTTCTAAACTTTGCTCTGGTGCCCTAGGCATTGGGCAGATCAAGATGGGAGTTCTGACTTCAGTCTTCCTGGGCGCCTAGCCTCAGGCAGGCCGCTCACTTCCCTGCTTGAGCTTCAACTTCCTTCATCGGTAAAACAGTGCTAAAAATCCCTTCCACAATAAGGCTGTTTGGGGAGTAAATAGAACACTATTTATTGACAGCTAAGCACAAACTAAATACCAAAAAATCAGGTAGTTGTAAATTGGGGAGAAAGCAAGGAACTTATGATAAATCCTTGGCATTGTTGGCACGCGTTGCCGGCACCAGGTTGGATCTGTCCACGGACGGGACGTGCCAAAGCTGACCAGGTGATCTGCAGGTCGGTCTTCAGGCACAGCCAGTTCTGGCCATGACCCCTGGAGCAGAGAGACAAGGAGAACTTCAGCTGGCCAAGAGCTTCATCCTGGAGCCTCTGTATCAGAGCTGGATTCTGATGCTGATTCTAATCGCTTCTCACTGTAATAACCAAAGAGGAAGCTCTTAAAATGGGGAATTATGTATCACGGTCGCTACAAAATAGCCCTGGGCCTGGCGCCAAGGAAAACAGTTCTTGGCTGCTGGAGCGCCTGGGGGGGCTTGTTCCTAAGTGCTTACTGCACCGGGTGGGGGTGGGGGGGCCGCTGCGGGGTGACAGGTGGGAATCGGTGGGCCTCATCATGAGTCCGTGGAGACGGATGGCAGTACTCCAGGGAAGGCGGTGTCTGAGGTGGGGCCGGGCTGACAGAGGGGGTAGGTCAGAGCTGAAGGTTCGGGCACATTACGGTTACTGTTAACTATCAGCTGTATGACCTCAGGAGTGTCGCTTGGCCTCCCTGGGCCTTGCTGACGTCACCCTGAGTAGAACTAAGGCCTTATATACCCCAAGGTCAGGGTGGGACCCGATAATTATGGCAGTAACAACAGTAATACAGCAGCTACTATTTAAGGAGTACTTGCTACTTGCCAAATGCTGTTCTAAGTACTTTCCATGCATTCTACACACACCCGCCCCCCACCATTCAGTCCTTACGTCATCCCCATGAGGTGGGCATGATTAACCCCATTTTACAAATGAGGACACTAAGGATCAGAGAGGTTGAGTGACTTGCTTGAGGACACCCAGCTGGGAAGTGGCTGTCAGCTTCTCTGCCAGGGCTCACACTCTTAATTCCTCCAGGGGTCAAGCTGCCACCGGAGGGCTCGGGGAGCAGCTGTGTTAGGGAGCCTGAGCCTGAGGCGTCGGATGGACGAAAGCAGTTCTGTGGAACCAGTGTCCCAAGGAGAGGGGAGAATGGGGAGATGGGGGCGAGGCTGCAGTGAGAAGTTTGTGTTTTCTTCCAGGAGTGATGGAAGGTTGGGGGTGGGGGCTGCATTCTGGACTGATTATGCTCTAGATGTTGCCCCCAGCTGCTGTGCTGAGAACAGTTTGTGGGGGGTTGGTACAGTGTAGCAGCAGGGAGACCTGGGAGGAGGCTGCCGTGGATGCCCGGGCAATAGCTGTCAGGGCCCCGACGGTGGTGGTTGCCATGGCGACGGAGAGATGTGGGTGGATGCCAGGAATGTACAGGAGGCAGAAGACAAGGGGCTTTCTGCAGTGGGCTTATGCAGGCATGGGGCTGGTGAGACACCCCGGAGGGGCTTGGAATAAGTCCCTTGAGAGGGAGGTGGGATGCTTGCTTCTGGATCTGGCCTCATCGACGCATGAGTGAGTGAGTCTTGGGTGAGGCCATGGACCATGACCTGGCAGGGAGGGAGCCACAGGTAGGGCTGCTGGCTGTGTGTTCTTGAAGGGCGCATGGGCTTGTTTTGTGGCAGCCATGGATGAGACAGGTGATGTAACAGAAGAAGCCATCCCTGGATGCACTTGGGATGAGGAGCGGGGACACCCCCATAATGCCAGATGCGTTCTGGCCCCAGTTCTGCCCCAGTTCTGCCCCATTCAAGTCCCATCCCACATCCCAGCTCAGCCACAGGCGTTGGGAAGATGGGGTCCTGAGTGGAGAGGGGGCTGGAGGTCTCCCCTCCTGGGAAACCAGAGGCCAGAGCAGAGGGTCTCATGGAACTTGCTACCCCCATCCCCGCGCTTCCGCAAGGTTCTCTGAGTGCCAGCCTGGCTGGTTGGTTTCGGGGCCCAGAGGGCAGAGCCAGGACTCTCAGGGTAGCCACAGGGAAGCAGACCCTGGCTCCTGGTGTCCTGGTGGGGAAGAACCTTCGCCATTCCCAGCTGCCTGTGTGGGCAGAAGCCGGCCACCTCCCCCCTCCTCCTGTCTGACCTTGTGAAGTGCCTTGCAGCCCCGAGATCCAAGGAGAGCCTGAAAGGACGGAACCGACCCTCTTGGTGAGGAGGTTCAGGGGTCATTCCCTGAAAAACATCTTCACTAGGAGGGACTTGAGTCCCACATCCTCCAATTATGCTCCCATCCAGCCGGCCCACAATGGGCTGCCCAGATAACCATCGGGGGCTGCACATATTAATGCTGGAACAATGCTGGCCGCTGGGGCTATTTTTACAGTAGCCATACGCCCGGCCGGACCCCCACGTTGCCTCGAGGGAGCAGGGCAAAGAAAGGCTGTGCGGATGCCGCCGCCAGTCTGCGCTCCAGGAGACAGAGGAAGGGCTCAGCGAGCGCCCGGCGGCTCCAGGAAGCCTTTTCTTGGTCTGCTCACGGCCAGATAGCGAAACAATCAGGGTCCCCCACCCCGAGCCAGGGAGAGGAAGGAGGCGTGGGGGAAATGGGGATTCTGTTGTGCTTTTGTGCCTCTGCTCCTCCAAGCAAGGCCCCTGCGGGCCCGGCTGCTGGGGCCAGGCCAGTGCACCTTCTCTCTGCACACCCCAGGTCCGCAGGCGGCCCCCGCCTTGCCCTGCCCCGACCGCCACCTACGCCAGGCAAGGCGCGGAGGCTGCGACATGGCTGGCGTCAGAGAGTTGGGAGGTGGCAGGGCTGGGGTTTGTACTTAGCAGCAGCTGCTTGCAGACCCCACCCTGAGCACCATTCACATCAGTTCTCGTCCTGCGCTCCAGGTTCTGGGCACAGCAGTAGATAAGACGGGTCCTTGCCCCACGGAGCCTCTGTTCTTGTCAGCCGACGGGGAGACTGTTAACAAGGAAGCAAGGACTTGAACAAGACATGATCGGGTGGTGTTAAGCACTTTGACAAGGCAGACTCAGATCCCCACTGGAGACGTCCTGTGAGCCGGGTGGCAAGCTGGCCCGGGTGTGCCTGGGTGATGGGGCTGCATCTGGTCCAGCTGATGGATCCCATAAGGAGTGTGAACCCAGTGTGGCCCAACGCCCTTCACATGTTCTGAAAAAACCTAGAAATCTCCACTTTTCTCTGTTATTTCAGTGTTGGCCAACAGTTTGGATCATGAAGACAAGTAGTACCCCAGGCTGTTTGATTATGAGTTGGTCGCCTTTGCTTTCAAGCTTTTTATTCTGCAGATAAAGAAAGTGAGGCTCAGGGAGGGGTGGGTAGGCCCACTAACTCTGGCTCCCCCAGCTCAGCTGTCTCCCGTGGCCTCTGCCATGTAGGGGTAAAGCCTCAAAGGCACCCTCTCCCCCTGGGCTGGGACTCATGGTGCTCTTGCCCTCAAGACCGAGGTGTGTGTTGGGGGGTGCGGTTAGGACCCGGGGACCTGAGAAGTAGAGAAAGGAGATGTTCTGCCCTGGCTGGTGGCAGCCTTCCTAAGCAGGGGTGGGCTAAGGGTGATCCTGAACAGCTCCTGGAGGCTTGGAGACGACCTCCTCTGGGCCCTTCCATTGCTGAACCCAATAGGGAGTCAGAGGGCAAAGGAGCCTGGATGGTATACGGGTTAGAGCAAGCCAGAGAGTGGATAGAGAGGGATGGACAAAGGAAGATTCACCTGCATTCTTCCATAATCCTCAGAATGCAGAGATGTGACTGGTTAATGAATTGCAAATATGTTTCATAAATACCCATTTTCCATACTTTGGTGGAAACCTCCTTTTCAAATATTGTTCCCATTTCGCCTGAAACCCCATTCCTTATTCACTTATGTTTATCCATTCTTTAAAAGCTCGGAACGAACACCTCCTATGGCCAGGCACTGTGCTGAGTCTTTTTTTTTTTTTTTTAAAGATTTTATTTATTTATTTGAGAGAGAGAATGAGAGATAGAGAGCACGAGAGGGAAGAGGGTCAGAGGGAGAAGCAGACTCCCTGCCGAGCAGGGAGCCCGATGCGGGACTCGATCCTGGGACTCCAGGATCATGACCTGAGCCGAACGAAGGCAGTCGCTTAACCAACTGAGCCACCCAGGCGCCCCGCACTGTGCTGAGTCTTGAATGAAACGGGAGCCATCATTTTCTAGGCAAATGTGAGATGCAGAGACGGTATCTGCTCGTTGCTAGAAAATGGAGGCAGGCTGTTATTGGGAAGTTACCTTAGAGTTGCCCAGAGTGTGTCATGTTTTGTAGAGATGATGCCAGGGTCGGGGGCGGGGCGTGGTTTGGCTTCATGATTCTCTGCCTGCGGGTATAGAATGATGTATGACGTGTGGAGATGACAAGCATGGGGTCCCTGTGCTTCTGTTGAGCAGGTGCCTGGGGAACAGAACCTATCAATTCCTGAATCTCCAGGACCCTGATCACCTAGAGGGGTCCAAATCACTCGGGTTGTTGTCAGAGCAGTGGACAGATGGGGTGGCAGGCCCCTCGCCACAGGCCTGGACTGGTCAGAGCCCGCCAGCCCATGGGTGAGAAAAGAGATGTGCCGAAGACGAACCGGCCATCCCTTACTGAGCGCACGTTGGCTTCTGTTTTGTCCCCCACAGAAAGCGAGGAGGACATGGCCACCAAGGAGAAGCTGCAGTGTCTGAAAGACTTTCACAAAGACATCCTGAAGCCATCCCCAGGGAAGAGTCCAGGCACGCGGCCCGAAGATGAGGCCGAGGGGAAGCCCCCTCAGAGGGAGAAGTGGTCCAGCAAGATCGACTTTGTGCTCTCCGTGGCTGGTGGCTTTGTCGGCTTGGGCAATGTCTGGCGTTTCCCGTACCTCTGCTACAAAAATGGTGGAGGTAAGCCTGGGCTGGGCTGGGCTGGGCAGAGTGGCCATCGAGGAGAGGGAGCGGCCAGACCGCGGGGGCCTCTCCGTGCCCCGCTTTCCCAGGCCCCCCCCGGGAACCCCTGCGTGCCCACCCCATCCCACCCCACTTCAGAGGCAAGACATGAGCATGACTGAGAGGTGACGTTCTCTCAGTGTCTTACTCTGCAAACTCGGGCAGATCCCTGACTCTCTCTGACCCTCCGGTTGATCCCTTCAGAAGAGAGGCCGTGAGGCCAGGCCCATGTGTCCCACAGATCCGCCCAGATCCATATGCCTTTGCTTTGGCTTTTTCTAACTTAACCCAAAGGCACTTCAAAAGCAAGCTTTGTTTCCCCCTGATAAATGGAAAACCAGTATCATTTGCTGTGATAGAAAGGTATCCAGGAAAAAAAATACAGTGAAGGTATTTTTAGTACTTTTTAATTTAAAATTTTCTCCCCTTGTGTTGAGATATAATTGACTTATAACAGGTATTAGTTTAAGGTGTACAACGAAATGAGTTGATACATGTGTACATTGCTAAATGATCGCCACAATTAGTTCAGTTACCATCCGTCACCTCACATAGTTATAACTTTTTTTCTGGTGATGAGAACTTGAGATTTACTCTCATAGCAGTTTTCAAATATGTAGTACAATGCTGTTAACAATGGTCACCATGCAGTAGGTCACGTCCTCAGAACTTATACCTTGAAGTTGTCTCTTTTTGACCACCTTTGAAGATCATGTTTTAAAAATGTAAGGCCTCTGTCAGGGTGTTTGGTTAGTTGGTTGGTTTGGGTTTTTTGGTTTGGGTTTTTGTGTTTTGTTTTTTGTTTTTTACACCTGCTGAAGGCTCTGAGCTAGAATCCTCTCCTGTTGGAGGTGTCAAAGTCCGGCAGCATGTGACAGAGACCTTCTCCCTGATGCAGGAGAGAGCTCAAAGAGCCCTTGGCAGGGAGGAATGGCTCGGCCCTCATGACGGCCTCAATCGGAGGCTCGTATGGCAGCAGATGGCATGCCACGGCCTCCCAAGTTAGAAGAACCACGTTTTGGGAAATTCTGCCTTAGAGCCTGGTTTCTTAACCTTTTGTAGGTCTCAGGCGCCTTTGGGACTCTGATGAGTGCCCTAGACGCTCCCCAGAACAAAGCACATAGCCATAGACCCAAGTTGCCCACAGTTTCAAAGGGTTTATGGACCCGCTGAAGCCATTAGTGGATACCAGGTAGGAACCCTCGCCCCAGCTCTTTGCCCTCACTCCTCCCCTGGCTCCCATCCCAAGCTGGAGATGCCCACCTCTTGCTTCTCACCACTGCACCCTTCCTTGCTAGTTCTTCTTAGCTGCCTGCCCTGGGCGGGCCTGGGGAAGGACGGGTGAAGGCTTCATGAGGAGGCCATATTTGAGATGGACGGATGTGGGGAAGGCAGGCAGGTAGTTGGCACAGTGTAAGCAAAGGCTCAGAGGCTTAAAAAAGCACCTGGTGCATCTGGAGGAGGTGAGAAGGCCCACTGGAAAGGTGATGTCAGCTGGACAGGTGGGCAAGGCCTGGAGAACTTTCAACCAGGTCCAAGAGTTTGGCCTCTATCCCAATGTCCCTCACCCATTCTCTTGGATTTCATTGGCTGGGAGGGCTCGGGACCAGCCCCCGTGACAGCCACAGCCTGACCCTCACCAACTCTGCTCTCTCTGCAGGTGCATTTCTCATACCGTATTTTATTTTCCTGTTTGGCGGCGGCCTGCCTGTGTTTTTCCTAGAGGTAATCATAGGCCAGTACACCTCTGAAGGGGGAATCACCTGCTGGGAAAAGATCTGCCCCTTGTTCTCTGGTGAGTATGGGACAAAAGCCACTCGGGGCCTGGTGTTCATCAGTTCAGCACATTTTTATTGAGCACCGGCTATTTGCCCAGGTACACTGGAGCCTCATGCAAGTCCACTTGGCACTGTGCCTGACCCGGGGTAGCAGTTGGCACATTATTCCCATGATGCTGCTGCCCACCATAGCTGCTCAGCACGTCCGGGCTGTTCCCGCCTCTGGGTTGTTGAAGGATTGATGAGCTAGCAGTTGCTTAGCAACGTAGTGCAGAAGATAGGCGCTCAGATCAGGAGTCTGTATGGTTTCAAGTCCCACTTCCTCCTCTTGCTCAAACTCTTGTTACTTTGGAATAGTCACTTAATCTCTTTGGGCCTCAGTTTCCTTATCTATAAAATGGAAATAAGGTGCTTACTTCATAGGGTCGCTATGAAGACAAAATGACATAGCTATGTAAAAGTGCTTTGTATAACATAGTAAGCTCCAAATTAAGGGTAGCTTTATTATCATTACAACATTTAGTCCTGTGCCTCACACCTAGTATGCACCCATAAAATAATCACTGTTATGGTTATAATTGGCAGGGATGGGAGGATGTGTGGGTCTGTTCATTCATTCGTCTATATAAATCCATCCATCCATCCAGTAAACTTTCTTCCATTAGTCAGTGGTTAGACCAGCCACCCATCTTTCTGGCTAGCTGTCCACTCATTCATCCATCCATTCATCTACCTAACCTTCCAACCAACCACCATCCATACATCCATCAACAAATTGGATATCCATCCATCAATCCAACATCCATCCATTCGGCTGTCTTTCCAACCAACCAACCAACCAACCATCCATCCATCTATCTACTCATCTATGTGCATAGCATCCATTCTTTGAGCTATCCCTCCTCTATACATCCTTCCATTCTTCCACCTTATCAGACCATCCATTCTTCCATCCATCCATCCATCCATCCAGTCCTACAAATCCATCCATTCATCCTACAAATATTTGCTGGTGCTTGTTGAAGAGCCCCTTCTGGCCCCAGCCCTAGAGATACCAGGGTTGAATACGTGGCCGTGGTAGGTCTGGCCTCCCTCCTGATGCTCATCTTTCTTGCCCACACCCACAGGCATCGGCTATGCCTCCATCGTGATTGTGTCCCTCCTGAACATATACTACGTCATCATCCTGGCCTGGGCCACATACTACCTGTTCCAGTCCTTCCAGTCAGAGCTGCCCTGGGCACACTGCAACCACAGCTGGAACACACCCCAGTGTATGGAAGACACTATGCGCAGGAACAAGAGCCTGTGGACCACCCTCAGCGCCAACAACTTCACCTCGCCTGTCACCGAGTTCTGGGAGTAAGGCCAGCCTCGCTGAAGGAAGGAGGGAGGACATGGGTGGGGGCAGAGAGGACAGCCCACTCCCTCATCTTCTCCCCAGGGATGTGGTTGTCACTATCTCGGGGTGGGGGGTGGGGAGAAGGGTGCAGATTTAGAGATAAATCCATGCCTTTGGTCTCAGACAGGCCTGGAACCGAATCCCAGTTCTGCCATTTTACTGGCTGTTTCAACTTCGGCAAGTCACTGCCCCTTTCTGAGCCTCAGTTTCTTTAACTGTCAAATGAGGGGAATGAATCGTTCCTACACCCGTATGCAGGTATATGTACTTCTGTTGTCTGAAAATGATATAGTTTTCTTAATGTATTTTAGAAAAAAATATAGTTAGCACATCAAACCTGTTATTGCACAGAGAAAAATGCACATACGAAGCTGACATAGTTACTCAAGCAAAAAGGTGAGTCGATAGAGTAAAAAATGTCAGTTAGCTTTTGCTGTGTAACAATCGCCCCCAAAGTTGGTGGCTTTCAGCAACGACCATTTATTTGGCTCATGGTTCTCCTGATTGGCAGTTTGGACTGAGCTTGGCTGAGCAGTTCTGCCAGTCTTTGCAGGGCTCCCCCGTGGGTAGGTCAGCTGTAGGACATCAGGATAGCTCTTCTGGGGATTCACTGGCTATTGGCTGGGGTGCCAGGGGCAACCGGTCCATATGGGCCCGTCACGCAGCAGGCCAGCCTGGGCTTGTTCACGGGCGGCTCAGCATTCCACAGACCACGAATGGGGGAGCCCCTGTGCAGGAGTTCTTTTCAAAACTCTCTCGGCATCATTTTCACTCATGTCCCATCCGCCAAAGAAAGCCACAGACTAACCCAATCCAGGAGGTGGGGAGAGAGACTCTGTCTCTTTAGGAGAGGAGGGGAGAACCATGATGTCGTCAGCAGCTACGGGAGTATAGACGCAGGACAGACATCAGAAAGGTGGAATGTGGAGACCTGAAGTTTGGGTAACTCTTAGCTGACATACGGGGGAGTCCTTTGAACACGGTGCTTGGAGGCCAATCACAAAAGCACTCATGGGTCACTTTTCCTGCTCTTCATGAGCTATGAAACTTGGGGTTCAGCACTTGCGTACAGCCCCGATGATCCTGGAGATGAGGTTGATAGCCGGGGGCAGGAGACAGTATTAAGGATGGGGGTGGTCCCTCGTCATCATGAAATGCTACTCCTTTTTGGGTCAGCTTTGCAGCTTCCAAGGGTCTTCTCACCTCTGAGAACCCAGCCCAGGAACGGACCCACAGGAGAGGGGGTGGCCTGCTGGCTGGTCCCAGCCATGCTTGAGGGCCAGGGCCAGGAAATCGTGGGCAAGCAAGGGTCGGGTGGCCCTCAGTCCAGGGTCCCTGTCCTTGTCATGACACGCGAGCCTGCGGTCGAGGTCGACGCTTATAAGTCCCTAGGCCTACTTGGACAGGGGCTCTTTCTTGGTGTGTACATATTTTCCACTTGCAGACAAAGAGCACATTACAAGCACATTCATCAGCCCCTCCACGCCACACCCTCTGGAGAGCTGAGTTTACAGACAAAGAAATGCGGGCACTTCATTCTTCTCACTTGAATGGGGCCCTAAACCACAGCCCTGTCTGTCCTAGGCTGTTCCTGGCACAGCCTGACCACCCACAGCCCACCCCACCCAGGACACTGGCACTCAACCAGCCACTTGGGTGCCTGCTGGAGCCTTACTGCCTCGGGCCTGGGTTGGCTGACCGGGCTTTCATGAACCGTCGGTCTGTCACTTCTAGCTTGGCCAGGTGCTGTTGCCCCTCTGGGCCCCGATGGCCTCACCTGTGCTTGGGGAGATCCTAGCACTGCCCTCCCAGCGTTGTGGGGTTGCCCTAAATGAAGGAGACAGTGCATGGCCAGCCCTGAGAAGCTGCTTGAGAAATGCGGGCCATTATTATCTATTTAGTGCCCTCATAGTGGATCAAACTGCCCGCCAGGGGTGTTTGGAACTCAAGTGATCTGACCTCCAGAGGGACAAAGAGTGGCCCCTTCTCAAATGCCCATACCCTCCCCCTCCGCCCCTGCCATTGCAAACGGGGCCGTCCTTCTGGCTCATCTCTGCTCTCATAGGCCTGAGGGCTCTCAGGAAGGGGCTCCCGTGAACCATGAGGTCCTCAGGGGGTCCAGTTGTTCCCCTGTCTTTTCACCCGCCTGTCCCCTACACTCAGCCCTCCTGGGGGTTCTCGGGCTCCTGCCTTCCAGAATCCCCATTCTGAGCGCCCAAGCTGCCCTTCCTGGCCTGGAAGCCGTGAAGACAGGATTTATCTTTGGAAATGTCCTGGGCCTGCAGGCAGCTTCCCAGGGCCCACAGGATCCGGATGGACTTTCTCAGCCCACAGAGCACTGGCCGCCTGCCTGGTGCTCGCCTCCCACTCCAGCCTTCGGGTCCTAGCTGAACTTTGTGAGCCCACCTGAACATCCACAAAGAACTTGCCCTCTTTCTGGAACCCTGGGGAGGACTAGGGCCCACAGAGCAAGAGCCTGGAATGCAGGCTTAGTTGAGGAGACCAGGCCCGCCACCACGCATGAGCAGAGGCTGAGGCCAGTGAATGGGGTCGGGGGCTTCAACGCAGTGCAGCCCTGGGCCAGGCCCTATGGGTGAGAAGGGCCCAGCCCCTGGCCTTCCAGAGCCTTCCCTTCTGCACATGAAAGAGGGGAAAGGAAAGAGAACTAATGTGAAATAATTAGCTCCCATGAGTGTTGTGCCAGGGACATGTCCCTCTTTTTGGCATTTCATCTTTGCAGAGGCCCTTCAGGTAGGGAAGTACATGGGAATCCTCCCAAACTCCTGCCCGCCTCAAATCTCACATCCAGTTCCCAGATGCTCTGGGCTCTCCCTTTCAAGTACACCCAGAGTCTGACTACTCTCCCCACTTGCACTCCCCCCCAACCCTCCATGAGACCCCCAGCATCACCCCCCCAGAGCCCAGCACTGGACTCTCCTCTCCCTGCCTTACCCTTGCAGCTCTGCAGTCAGCCGTGAATCCAAACATGGCATTTCTCAGCTCTCGTGGCTTTTCCCATACTATGATCTGGCTCAGCCAGAGAGGATTAAGTGAGAGTGTTTCAACACAGTGAGTGCTCACTGGATGCTGATTCTTCTTACTAACTCCATGTCTGCATCCACTTGGCTGTAGCCTGGAGCAGCAAGTTAACTACCCCTCTCAGGCCTAGTTTCCTCATCTGCAAATGGAAGGGCCATATGAGCTGGGCTCTGAGGCACAAATAGGAGCTCACTGGACTGAAAAAGAGAAAAAAAAGACATTCTGGGGAGAAGGAACAGCCCATGCCGAGGCATGGCATTCTGAACCCACACAAGTGTTTGGGAACCGTTAAGTCAATGAGTTTGGCCAGATTATAGGACACATGGGACCAGGGGAAGGTTTGAGGCCTTGAATGTTAGCCTGGTAAGTTTGAGCTTTGTTCTCTAGGAGGGGGAACCATGGAAGGGGAGTGACATGATTGAATCTACTCAAGGAACACACTAGTGGGAGAGAGACTAGGACATATATTAAGCACCAACTGTATACAGGGCCTCAGCGGGTTCAGCCATCAGTGGGCCTGGGTTCTGGGATGAAACAGTTTATGTGATTTCCCCCCAAAATAGCCACTGGCCGTACAGTGACTGGTTCTGGGGTTTCCATTAGGAGAGGCTCACCGGGACATTACTGAGGTGTCAGTGACTGGTACCGGGTTAGGCTGCAGAGCAGTGAGGATACTCTCAAAATGCTGGTCTCCACGCCCCTGGAGCCAAAGCCCAGCCCCAGCCGATATTTGTCTCTACTTCTCTCACCTGCAGCAGACGTGTGGGTCCTTGAGGTGGACCAATACCCGACGGGTGTCTGGGAGCTCCCTGGGAATCAAGATAACACAGCACTGTGAAAGCTGAGACTTCCTTATGGCCCTGGACAGGGAAGGAATTTGCTGATCATCCCTGCCAGCCGCCCTCCCCCTCTCTCGTTTTACTGGAGGAGCATGGGTGCTGCTCCGGTCCCTTAGAGCAGGGAGCCTGCCTCTGGCCCCCACGCATCCCAGCTGCATGACCTCAGGGCAGTCACCTCACCTCTCTAAACCTTGAGGGTAGCATGGTTCCAACACCTCACAGTCTGGCTCGAGTTAAAGAGCTAGGACAGGTGATGTGCTAAGGACAGGGCCTCCAGTCATGGCTCATTGGGTATGACACTGAGGACCAGGGAGGTTAAGTGACTTGCCCAAGGTTACAGAAGCAGCTAGCTAGAACAGAGCTCCCAGCCCTCACCTCCGACACTGGCGTCTGTGCCCCACCAGCTGCAAGTCCACGGCAACAGGTAACATTGTGCCATGTGTGTGTGACCCACTCTCAGGTCGCGGGGGGTCTTCTCTTGGCGTGGACCCACCCCATCTGCAATGCTAAAGCACCGTTGTCAGCGGGAGCTGGCGAGATGTCCTCTTACAGAGCCCCTTGAAAGCCACCAGGGCCCCTGAGACAGTCATTTCACGCTGGCTTTATGATTTGACTCGGAGTTGCTCTGTGACGGAAAACAGAGCTTCTGCCCCCGGTTAACCTCATCCTGCTGGTCCCTGCTCTGGGGTCCTCGCTCTGTCCCGAGGGTCCTGCTTCACCCCAGCCCTGGAAGACAGGCGGGGCCAGATCTGGCCGGAGCCATGCCTTCCTCCCTGGTTCCTCCCGAGCCCCCCGGGAGCTCAGCACGTATCATTAGACTTTATTAGAATCAAAGAAATGAGTCATATTTGCAAACAAGCCGTGCTCAGCCAATCTTCCCCTGCAGCTGTCGGAAGGAGGAGGCGGTGGAGAAAGCCTTGTGTGGCCCCATGCTCAGGGCGGACGGGCTCTTTTATAATTGTTGCCTCCGCCAGTCTCCAGGGAAGAGCCATGGCCAATAAATGGCTGGCCGGCAGTCAAAAGGAAACGATTTGGCCCACTCGGAGGACGTATTTACATCTCTGAGTGCCGGCTGGACGGCAGCGGGGCGGCCGACTCACAACAGACGTCCAGGCGATTCTTTTTTGGATCCCACCCTGGAATGAATCATTACTATTCTTGGACAAGAATGCAGCTCACCTCTGGGTCTCCTCCCTCTGTATGAGCGATGCGGGGAAGCCTGGGATTCTGGGGGCCCTCGCGAAGGGCAGCATAGGACCAGGCACATGGGTGGCTTGTCCCCAGGGCAGTATCAGAAAAAGGGATCCAGGCCCGGGGTTGATTTTTATTGGGGTCATGTCAGGCGAATTCCTGAACCTCTCTGAGCCTCAGTTTCCCCATCCACCAAATGGGTATGATTAATTTACTCAGTTAATGCGTACTGAACCCCTACTCTGTGCCAGGCACTGTTCTGGATCCAGCAGTGATCAGACACAGACCCTGCCTCCATGGAGATGGCATTCTAGTAAGACAGACGGACATTAAATGGATAGCACAAATATAATTGTAATATAAAAGCGATGACAAATGATGAAAAATAAAGCCAGGGCAGGGGAAGGAGAGTGACCAGGGATCCTTTTTATACGATGGCCAAGAGAGGCTGCCCCAGTGAAGTAGCATTTGAACAGAGACCTGAAGTGACACAGGGAGGCAGTTGGCATGTCATATAACAAGTGACTGACGAAACAACCTGTTCAAAGGTCCTGAGGCAAGAATGTGCTCAATCTATTCGGAGATCATACCAGAAGACACCGGCTGAAGGGGCCATATGGGATGAGGTTCAAGATGGGACAAGCATACATAAACTTGTCCTGGACCTGTCTCATTTATATACCTGTGGTCCCAGTGTCCTTTATTAATAGGTCTGAATGATAAGCGTATTTGGTCACCTTATTCAGGGAGGCCAAAAGGGATGGGGCAGGTTAGGGGGGGTCTTTTAGCCAGGTATGTGGGAGCCATGGGAGGATGTGGAACAGAGGAGTGGTGTGACCCGACTTGGGTCTGGACAGATTATCTCTCGATGAGAACAGACCTGGCGGGGAGGGTGACCGTGGAGGCAGGAAGACCAGTGGGGAGGCCGCTGAAAAAGCTCTGGGAAGCAAGGGGGGTCCAGACAGGAGTGGTGGCAGTGCTGGGGACATGTAGCTGGATTTGGGGTACCATGCAGTCTCCTGGGGTGGTTAGGAGACTGCTGAGGGGCAGTGCATCATGGCTGTCCCTCTGGGGCACAGCATTCTACAGTTTACTGAGCCCTCTCATGCACCACCGCGGGAAGGCCCAACGGATCCCTGTCTGCTGTTCTGGGGCTGAGGCTGTGGGAGTCCCACGTGGGAGGGACTTGTGGAGGGTCCTTCACGCGGGGTCCCTTCAGAAAGGGATTCGGATGGCCGCACACACTCTCTGGCCTCCACGGCTACCCAAAGCTATCTTTGGAAAGGATGTTGGTCACTTTGGCCCCGAGCCCACGTTGGGCTCTGTTTTGACAACCCCTGACTGATGAGACACATTCATTCCATTCCTAGAACGTCTGCACGGCCCATTACAAACATTTTCAAGACTTCTAAATAATTTTTATAAAGGTGCTATTAAAAACATTGAATCATTCGTCTAAAAACATCAAACATTCAAAGAGAAAAACATTCAAGTAGAAAAAATGATGCCCAAGGCCAAGTGCACTCCCCTCCCCCACGTCCCCACCACCAGGTCCCCCTCCCCACAGGCAGCGGCTGACTGCAACCAGCGGCGTCTTGTGTGTCCTGCCAAAAATAGTCTGTTCGCTTTCAAGCACAAATGTACATCCACCCCCTTCCCTTTTTAACACAATAGGGAGCATGCCATAAGCGCGGTTCACCTTGCTTTGTTCACTTATTTTATCTCCAGGATATCGTTTCTTATCTGCGCACAGGGAGCTTTCCCGCCGTCTCCAGGGCCGGGCAACATTCCACTGTGTGTCTTCTCTGTGCTGCTGAGCCCCTATTGATGGCCGTTTGGGTGGTTTCCAGTCTTTTACTCCTACAGACGGTCCTGTGATGACTAGCTGGGGCTGGACCCCGTCGTTGGCCACGCGTGCGAGAGCTATCATGGGAGAGAGGCTCGGGAATGGCGTATTGCTGGGTCAAAGAGAACGTGCCTTACAGTGTCACCTGGAGGTGTCATGAGCTCCTACAAGGAGATGGCCACCGGCGGTGGAGACTCGGTTTCCCAGTTGTGGCTTCCGGAGCTGGTCAGCTGCCCAGAGCCAGCCTGCCTGCCGTCTGTGGCGGGCGCCACTGGTTTACGGAGCGCAGGAGTCGGAGAAGGCAGGAACCGACTGTGCTTGGTGTGGGCTGAGCTCTGCGGTTCCAGGCTCCTCAGCCGACCTGGCCGGAGGAGAAAAGGAAAGGCTGGGCGCCTCCTCAGCATTAGCTGAGCACCTGCTGTGTGCCCGCCTGTGAGATCCTTGTCCTTGGGCCGGCTGGAGGCTGGTAGGCGAGACAGCCTTTTCACCCGAAGGTGACATTTGGTGAGAGCGGGTGGCCGGGGAGCCGGCCAGGGACTCCGGTCAGGTGTCCGCCGAGCAGCAGGAAAGGCTTCCCCGGCAGCACGAGGACCGTGTGGCTGCCGCGGGCGCCAAGGTGTGGAGGTGGAGAAGCACTCTCTCCCTGCCGCTGCCCATTCACAGGGAAGCCTTGGCCGCTGCCCAGCGTGCCCCGGGCCTTCATTGAAGGCGCCGGGCTCTGGAGGCTGCACGGGGAAGGTCTTTTTGTTCTAAGCAGCCACCGCCGCCAGACCCATGTGCTTGGCAGGGCCCCAGCCGGGGCGCGGTTGGCGGACGGCCTGCCTCATGGGGATGCCCCCTGGCCTGAGGCTTCAGGGGACCCTGGCCCATAGCAGGGGGACGGGGCAGAGTCTTTTCAAAGTTTAGGCTCTATTCTCCCTGCTTATCAGAGGAGCAGTGCGGGGGAGTCCACAGAGCAGTGGCTTTGGGAGTCTGGCAGGCTTGGGTGTAGGGTGCTACTTCTGCCCGCCTCTGGCTGTGTGTCTGTGGGCAGTTCAGTCTTCCAGGCCTCGGTTTTCCCCGTCTGTAAAATGGGGCAAATGACCTCTAGTCCTTGGATCAGATGAGATAAATTGGAAAGGCCTTGTGGATGTTCTGATCACACATCGTCAGAGGTGCCCGAGGGGAGCCCCTTGATGTCGGGGTTCTCACCAAAAAAAAAGAAAAAAAAGGACAGGAATGCTGCCCCTTTTAAGGTGAACGGAAATATTTTATGACTTGGTTCAGACAGAGTGCCGTGTGAACTCGCCCGTCACCTCAGTTGAGTCCTTGGTTCATTCACTCAACAGGTATCTACTGAGGCCCTACTATGTGCCCTGTGTTGTTCTAGGTGCTGGGAGCACGGCGGTGGCCCAAAGAAAGGCCTCACTTGGATGCCACTTGAGATGGGGATCTTGGATTTATTCAAGGTCCACAAGTTGAAGCTTCTGTGGAAAATAAAAAAAAAGGAAAAGCGGTGAAGTGTCCTGGCCCAGCGGGGTTTCCAAGACCCAGAGCCCTGACCACTGACTGGCTGGGAGCTAGGGAATGGTCTGGAATGCATTCCCAGGCAGCAGCCTGGGGGCAGGAGCTGTTATCTGTGTTTTACGGAAGAGGAAACTGGGGCACGAAGTCACACCCCCTCTCTGCCTCTTGGGCTGGAGTATGGCCTTGAAACCAGGACCTAACTTTGGTCAGAAGGAATCCCAGCTTTTCCCAGGGGAGCACAAACTGCCTGTCTCCCGTGGTCAGCAGCCTGGGGAGTCAGGGGACGGGGAACCCTGACGGAGTGGGGGGCAGGGCTGACGTCCCCGTGCTTGATGCGCCCGCCCTTGGTCACTGCTTCAGTATCAGAGCTCTGGGACCATGGGGACAGTTTCTTGGCATTGAATTTCGTGGCTTCTGGCTGCCAGCACCCTGTGCTGCCCCACCCCGACTGCAGATGGCATCGGCCCCTCAGGGATGTGTCCGCGAGCAGGTGCCCATACGCGTCTTCTGTAGGTCAGCGAGGTTCTTGGACTCCAAAGTCCCAGCCTCTGCGGAGTGATGCTGGGCAGGGCTGGTGATTGCCCTGTGCCGATTAGCCTTCAGACCGTCTACCTGCCTCCTCCTGAGACCTTCACGATCCTGCAGGGAGTTGGGGGCAAGAGGCCAGCACTGCTTAGGTGCCTAGAGCTGCTCTGGGCGTCTCGAGGCTAGGACGGAAACAATAAGGTTTACCCAGTGCTGGCTGCACCCCAGATCTTATCGTTAGTACTTTGTGTGGGTTTTCTCTTAACAATGATCCCCGTAAAGAGGTGGATAGGTGCTCTGTGGCCACATATAGAACAAACACTTTGCCCTCTTGAGGCTTACATTTTCATGGAGATCCAGATAAGAAACAGGGGTGAATAACATAAAAGAGGGCTGGGACAAAGAGTGTAAATCAAAGCCATTGATTTTACACAGTAGAGCCCAGTTTGAACCCAGTGTTTGGCCCACAGTGGGCACTGAAGAAGGGTCTACTGAGAATCGATCACATGGGAATTAGTACCCATTTTACAGATGAGGAAACTGAGGCTTGGAGATGTACTTAACTTGCCCGAGGCCAGGCGGGGTTGAACCCAGGTTCACCTGAGGTAGGAGTCCGAATCTATCCCCTTGTTGACTTCTCCACAACCCTGTGACGTGGGTGGGCACTGCTTCAGAGACCCATGGGGATTCCAGGGCTTGGAGAGGCGAGGGGGCTTGTGGAAACACGGTACCTGAGCCAGGGTTTCAACCCCAGGCTGTTGGAGCCCTGGCCTCAGCTCTCTCTGCCCCAGGGCCCGGCCCGACTGACCTGTGGCTCTGTTTGCTTGAAGGCGCAACGTGCTGAGCTTGTCTTCTGGAATCGACGACCCTGGCTCCTTGAAGTGGGACCTTGCTCTCTGCCTTCTCCTTGTCTGGCTGGTCTGCTTCTTCTGCATCTGGAAGGGCGTCAAGTCCACGGGGAAAGTGAGTTGTGTGTCTGTCCCTCCCCTGCCTCAGGGGGGTCTACCCTCAGCAGAGACTCTCTCACCATCCCCCCAGGCCCTCCTGCTTGAAACCGGCCCAGACCGAAGAGCCAGTGTAGGCTGCTAAAGCAGTCCTCTGGAAGAAAATAAGGCCTGCTCTGTTGCATTTGCCCGCTTCATGGTGTAAATACTCCCACCATGTCTGATTTCAAGTTACCGATGGTTTAACAACTAGCTAACAAAATTCCTGAAAGTCAGGTGGTGGGCTCTCTGGAGCCTGCACAAGTTCCCATACACCACTGGTTCCCATATCAAGGTGTTGGTGGTAGTGCAGATGTTAGCAGATAACAAACTTTGGCATTGATAAGTTAGCAGGTAGCAAGGTGACCTGGCGACTTACTGTTAATTACCAGCGATTCACCCACAACACGGACCCTTGCTTTGCAAAGTGTGCCCTGACTGGCAGTATCAGCATCCCCCACAAACTTGTTAGAAATGCCCCGCACCTACAGAATCAGAACCCACGGTTGAACAGTATCCCCAGATAATCCAAATGCACCTGGAGGTTTGAGAAGCAGAGACTTGGAGTTTCGCTGCTAAGTCTGATTAACTGAATTCTCTTACAACTAACACTTGGGCTGGAAACTAAGATGTTAGTTATTAAGGAAAGCTTTCGGTGTTGATTAAGTCATTTGCTCATAACCAAGATGTTAGTTGTTAACCAAAATGTTAGCCATCGCTGAAATATTCGCAGCTGATTTAATATGTTACACGATCACTAGAACGTTAGCTATTAACCAAGGTGGTAGCTGATCATTAAAATGTTAGCTTATCATTGAGGTTTTAGGTACAACTGGTATATTTCCCATAATGAAAATGACAGCCTATAACTAAAACACTTCCTGTTAACTTAGAGCTGAACAATTACCCAAGAACCAAGACCCTGGCCGGTATGGTGGCCACTGTGATGTAGTCAGTGCGGAAGGGTCTGTGGTGATCAGAGGTGTGAGCCTGCACCCAAGGCTCTAGGCCAGAGAGAAGGAGTCGGCTGATCTGGCTTTATATGGCCCCCACCTAGCATTTCCCTCCTGTCACTTGCATCTTGGCAGGGGGAACATCTCTTTAAGGTCTAAAGCCCCCGAAGGTCCAAAGAGTAAGTTAAGGTGGCATTTGAGGTACGGTGATGGGCAGGGGGTGACATCGCTCAGAGAAGGGGCCTTTGCTGCACTGGAATTTACATTAAGGACCATGCTCTCCCTGGATGAAGAGCCCCTTAAGTGAAATCGTGGATCTGAACAGATCCCAGCATTTACTTCAGGGCAAGATCAGAGGCATAATGGGGATGAGTCTGGAGTGGGGCCCTCTGCCTGTTCCTAAAACCCAGTCTGGAAAGGAAGCAGGCCAGGCTGACATTGTCCCACTGGGACAGGCAGGAAGGGGGCCCCTCGAGCAATCCCCACAGCGCCTTGGGGTGCTCGTTCACCAGTGTTGGCCCACCTCCTCCTCTGTCTTGTGTGCAAACTGTTTCCTTACCGCCTTTCTTCAAATGAGGAGGGAGCTGAGCTGGGAGAGGTGAAGTGATTTGTTCAGGGGCACTCCCTCTGCTCGAAGCCCTGGTTTCCTCTTCTACAGAATGGGTGAAGGTGAAGGCTCCAACAAGTTGTGTTCTGCACCCAGCACCAGTGCTTGGCGCAGACAGTGCCGTAAACACCAATGCCCTCTTCACTGTGCCTCCCGTTTCCCCACGTGGAGGTGAGTTTATCTGGAAGTTTCTGTGGAGCACTCGTCCCGAACAATGCAGGAGACCTGATCATTTCCTGATGCACTCATACATTTTGAGCCTCTACTATCCATCAGGCACTGTTGTAGGACTAGGGCCAGGGGACACGCGGGAGTCCACAAAAAAGACAGAAATCTCTGTGGTGCAGGAGCTGACAGATTTGTTGGTTGTGACAAGGTGAATGCATAAAATACATAGGAGTCAGGTGTGGACTGAAGAATAACGTGAAGGACGACAGGAAGTGTTGGGGTACACTTTTAAATGAGGTGGACAGGCAGGCTCACCAAAAAGGGTGACTTTGGGACACAGATCCGAAGGAAGTGAAGGGTAAGCCATGTGGATATCTGGAGGAGAAAATATTCCAGGGACAAGAGCCAATGCAAAGGCCCTGAGGTATATCTGACCCAAACCTATGGGGGAGCCCCCAGTCTGATGGAGGAAGCTGATGTTTCCCAGAAACAGCGGGCAACCTTTGAGATACAATGGAGGGGGCAGGAGTTTAGAACCAAATCGAAAAGTAGAGGGTACCGGGCTGCAACTGTGGCCGGTTGAAGACGTGACTTGACAGAGGTCCCCCTACCCTACCCCGCCCCTGGAGACAATCTCCTCCTCACGCTCCAGGCCCCTGAGGGGCGGGCATGGCTCCCAGAACAATAGCAGAGCCTGGGCCAGCCCCAAGAAGCCAAGACAAACACAGTAAGGCTCTGTGGACTTCCTTGAGCTCCATGGCCTGCCTGCCCGCCCGCCGCCCGCCGCCCGCCGCCCGCCGCCCGCCGCCCGCCGCCAGCCATGGCTTCCAGCCCTGGCCACAGACCAGGTTCACGGCCGCCGTGGGGGCTGGGCCCATGGGCAGCAGGATGGACCTCATCCTGGCCCTGGCCGTGCTTCGGTGGCTGACCCTGGTCCAGCAGGGGGTGGATGGAGGGAGGGCCTGGGTGGCTCAGGACCCAAGTTCAAGTCACTTTGCCTCTCTGAGCCTCAGTTCCCTTTTTTGTAATTGTCATCATTCCAAGGGTCTGAACCTTGGCCCAGAATCTGCTGGGGGCTTCATTCATACAACAGACAGTGATAATGGCGGCAAAGGCTGTGTCATGCACACGCCAGGCCCCGGTCTCAGGGCTGTCCATTACAGCTCATTCCATCATCCTCATGTTAGGAGGTGTCGGTGGCCAAGTGGGATTTGAACCCACGCAGCCCAGCTCCCCACCTTGGTGCCCTGCATTCTTCCACCTCCTAAGCATCACCTGCTGCCTGCCCTCCCCCTCGGCTAGCCTGACCGTGGGGACGGGAGGCGGGCATGTCCTTGCTCACAGCGCATGAGCCCGGAAGGTGCCAAGTCCAGACCGTCGTGCAGGCAGTATGGCACTGGGGACCCGAAGGGGAGTATGGTCACGGACTTGAGCACAGACGTGTCCTGAGGCTGCGCCCCCAGCTCTTCCGTCTCACACTTGGAAACAAAGCGGGGACGGGGGCAGTCAGGGTCGGACCTGGCTTGGGATCTCAGTTTTACTCCCACAAGCGGCACAACTTCGGGGACATCCCCTTCCCTCTCCGAGCCTTGGTTTCCCCTTATGTGAAAGGAGTTAGTGATGCCCTCCTCGCACACACAGGGGTGCCGTGAAGACCCTCGGGGCCTGCCAAGGTGCTGGGCACAGACCCGTGGCCCCACCTCTAGGAGCCTCCATCTTTGGGATGAGTGACCCCTGCTGCCCAGGCCTTGACCCCCAAAGGAGGTTCAGGGCGGCGGTGGGAGACTAGCCCATCTCCCTTCTGCCTGTGGGCCACTCTCTCCTCGCCGTCCCTAGGGGAATGAGGAAGAGTTGTCCTTGCAAGTTTCCAGGGCAGTTGGGCCACAGGGCTTTTGGGTCAAGGGCTCAGAGGAACCACAGAGGCTTGCCAGCAAGAGTGGAAAAATACCATGTCCCGTGGCAAGGCCTGCTGGGCCACCACTAGAGGCCCACTGGCGGCAGCTGGCACCAGCTTCTCCCGTGAGGATCCCGGGGGAGTCACGGAAAAGTTGAGAGAATGGCTCTCAGGGGCTTGTCCTCAGAGCAGCAAATTCTGCAAAACAAGGGTGGCTTCCAAAGAGGCAGATGAAGTGGCATGACTAGGTGGGGCTGGGTGAGCAGGTGGGGCTGTCCTCTTCTGGATCGGGGGACGAACTGCAGTAAAGTGCGTGCGCACACACACACACACACACACACACAACCCGGGACTCTGAAGCCAGCTGGCAGGGGTCCCGTCCCACCTCTGCCACCTACTAGCGCTGTGACCCCAGGCACCTGACGTCACCTCTTGGGGCCTGTTTTCTCCTCTAGAAAATGCAGGTAATTCACTTCCCTACCTCTTCAGGTTGTCGTGAGGATGAAATGAGTTAACGCACATAAAGCTCTTAGCATAGTACCTGGCACACAGTAAGTGCTCCTTAAGTGCTTGTTAAACAGATTTAATACATGAAAACAAGGGAAGCCACCCCCATCCCGGGGTGGTTTCCTGTGTCCCTGACACAAAGCCCTCTGGCCAGAGCCTGGTTGCCCAGCCCAGCGGGGCCCAGCTGGCTTTGGGGACAGCCACCAGCCCCTGGGTGTGGTCCACAGCAGGGCCCAGAGGTGGGAACCAGTGGAGGGCCTGTCTGCAGGAAGGGAGGAGCAGCCTGGGGGGCAGGGGTGGGGGCATGCTGGTTTTCTTTCTTTCACCCCTTCTGTGGCCTCCTGAGCTGCCCCTTTCCTCCAAGCCTGCCTTCTTGTCCTTGGGAAATTGGGAGGGTTCTCTGCCTCAGGAGAAGAAGATGGGGTGGCTGGGGAAACTGAGGCCCAGTTGGAGAAAAGGCATCGGGGGCTGGAGGGGAGCCCCAGAGGCAGGCGTAGGGCCCGCCCTCTAGCCTAATGGGATCAGCAGGAGAGTCCTCACTGCTCAGGTTTCTTGAGGATGGCGAGTGAGGTAAGCACCCTTATTTTCCTCCTCATACAGATGGGAGCTGAGGCCAAGCCACCCAGCTGGGAGGTGGCAGAGGTGGGACCCAAACCCCAGCCCGGATGACCCCGAGTGGGCCCTCCCTGCCACTCTATCCCTTTCCCTGGAGGGGCAGAGCTGGACGGAACCCCAGAGCTCACCTGGTCTGAGCTTCTCACTTCGTGGGTGGGGAAATGAAGCCCAGAGAGGGACAGTAGCTTGCTCAAGGTCTCACAGCAAGCCAGACAGCAAGCTTGAATTCCGACCTGCACTCTTGGGGAGTCCAGCCTTCCTCTGGTTGTTGGAAGGGTTGAATAAAGTGCCAGACGGGGAAGGGCTTTTTACTGCTCTGGCACCGTCTGGAGGCAGGCTCTGGGGCACTTAAGTGCTGTGTGACCTGCGGACAAGCTGGGGACTCTCTGGGCTTCGGTGTCCTCACTTTCAAGATGAGGCTACTAATGAAAGCTGCCTCAAAGGGTTAGGGCGGGACCAACTAAGTACAGAAGTTACTGCACTTGGAATAGTGCCAGGCATACAGTAAGCACTCAATAAATGCTGGTTGGTGGTACTGGCCGAGGGCAGCTGAGCCAGGCAGGCCCTGAGAGCTTTCTTCTTGCCCTTTTCCAAAGGCCCTTTCTAGTTGTTTCTACTCACAGGGATGTTGGCTGTCCAAGAATTGTGCTCCAGCAAGTGTTCCTGTGCCAGATAGTTGGGGTTCAGGGCTCCGTCACCCTCCATCAGTGTCTGGTACCTACATGGGCCCCAGAAGTGCCCTGCAGTAACCTGGCCCTGCCCCCAGCACCCAGCACCACGGACACGTTCATGCTGCTCTCTGGGTGTCGGTTTCCTCACCTGTAAAATGGGTACATTGGCTGTGTAGTCATTCCTTTCTGGTCCCCTGGCCCCCAAGGCCCTGAGGGAGTCAGGGGCTCTGTGACCCAGTCTTAGCGTTTCAGGTGGTCAACAGGAAATTTCTGTATGTGCTGCGTTGGTGAAGTGAAAATGCCTAGTGCCTTTGCTCAGAACAAGGTGGTTAACGTCCACGGGCCCTGACTACAGCTCCCGCGCCCTGGGAATGACGCAGGCAAGTCTCCGAGCCCTGCTGAGCTCCCGTTCCTCCTCTGTCAGCACGGTGGCCAGCACGCCAGTTTGCAGGCTGCGGTGAGCATCAAGTGGCCTTGTGCCTGGGGCGTCCTTGCTCGGCCAGCGCCCTGCTGGAAACACCAGCATCTCGCCGTCCGTTCAGAGCCACGCACCTCTGAGCTCCTCCCAGGCATGAACCCTGCCTGGAAATGCCTCACAGTGAATGAAAAGATAGGGAAAAATCCATCCGAGAGAACTGAGGGCACAGGATGTTTGGAGACCAGCGCTTTCGGGAGAGAAGGAGAGGAAGTAGGGCAGGCCCTTGGCGATGGAACGGCCCAGCCTGGGTCATCTCTGGGTCCCCACCTCCAATTGACCTTGGGCTGCCCGGGATGTGCTGTGTGATCCAGGGAGGGCTGTGGGGCCTCCCACGGCCCCACGTAAGTGGGAGTGGGAGGAGGGGACCTTCCCGGTCTCCTGGCCAAGGGGCTTTAGAAGCTTCATTTCCTCCCAGGAGTTCCGTGTGCACTTCCTACAAAATCAGTGTCGACAACAGGCCCCATTTCTTGAGCACCTACGTGCCGGGCACTGTTTTGATGGTGTTCCAAATATCATCTCATGGAGTCCTCACTTCCCCTCTTGATGGAGGTCTTCTATTACTGTTGTCTCCATTTACACATAAGGGAACAGGCCCAGAGAGGTGAAGCATCACGTCCAAGGTCACACAGCAAGCGAGGGGACAGAGCTGGGGTTTGAACCCTCACCTAACTGATTCGGAACCCTAGGAGTCATACTAACAGTTGTAATGTTAGCTAATATGTAGTGTCACATGCCGACCATGGGGCTAAGCTTTTTTCATATACACTTGATAGTTGACATCTTATTTTGCATTTTCCTTCTTCACTCATTAGAAATGTTCCTGTTCCAGGGACCTGGGTGGCTCAGTCGTTGAGCGTCTGCCTTCGGCTCAAGTCATGATCCCAGGGTCCTGGGATCGAGCCCCATGTAGGGCTCTCTGCTCTGCAGGAAGCCTGCTTCTCCCTCTCCCACTCCCCCTGCTTGTGTTTCCTCTCTCGCTGTCTCTCTCTCTGTCAAATAAATGGGTAAAATCTTAAAAAAAAAAAAAAAAAGAAATGTCTGTTCCATGAGGGCAGGGATTTCTGTCTTGTCCACCACTCTATTTCCAGGGCCTAGATATTCAGTAAATATCTACAGGATTGTTTTCATTGAATCTCAGCAAATCTGTGAGGTAGGTACTGGTATTATATCCAGGTTACAGGGGAGGCAACTGAGGCCCAGAGAGGTTAAGCAACATGCGCAAGATCACACAGCAAGGGAAACAGCACGCTCGGCTCCAGCCCCCTGGCCTTGGGGAGAATGCTTGAATTTGACAGCAGCGGTTGATGCCGGGGTTCCCCTGAATCACTCTCTGCCCTCACAGGTCGTCTACTTCACGGCCACTTTCCCGTTCGCTATGCTCCTGGTGCTGCTGGTCCGTGGACTGACGCTGCCCGGTGCAGGCGCAGGCATCAAGTTCTATCTGTACCCCGACATCAGCCGCCTCGAGGACCCGCAGGTACCGCAGGGCAGCCTGTCCTCCCTCCCACCCAGGGCCAGGCAGGGCAGGGTGCGGGAAAGCTAGGCCGACGGTCCTGGGGGCACAGATCGAGTCGGGCCATCGGCTCCCAGTACTTTTCGGCTGGGCTGTGGCAGGTTGTCTACCATGCTCACGGGCCTTTCCAGCTGTGTGTATCTTTCCATGTGGAGGACTCCTGAGGCCAGCCACAGCCTCCTTCAGGCACTGTGCCAGGGAAGTGGGGAGAAGTCTTTTTAGGAGCTAGTCTCCTCCTTGGCCCTGGTCTCTGCCCGCAGCGGCCAGGAGGGCAGCGTCGTGGGGGTCGGGGAGCTGGCCCAGGAGCGCTGCTGGCTTCCTTGGCTGACGTTGGAATTCAGAATGGGTGCTGAGCTCTTGGAAGGTCGAGGGGCAGATACTGAACACCCAGCTCCGGGCACTCGGCCACGTGACTGCAGGGGTTTGGAGAAAGCCCTGGGATGTTTTATTGGCCCATTTGAGGACCTTTTGTCTCCAGGATCCTCAGACTTCAGGTGGCCTTCAAGGTCCTGTGCTGCTTCGGTTCTCTTCCTCAGTGCCCTCTCACCCTGGGCAGGATGGGGGGCTGGGGGGGGGGCTTGGCCAACATCAGAGGACAGCTGAGAAGGCAGCTTTGTGGCCCTCAGGAGCTGCTGGATGAAGGTTCTGGAGAGCAGCTTTGCCTGCACAATCCGTTAGGGAATTTCTCCCCACTGCAGACAATAGCCATTACAGTCATGGTAGCAGCCTTGACTTAACAGTCTTACCATGTGTCCGCACTGAGCTAAATCTTTACTCTGAGAACCTGAGCAGTAGCGCAGCAGAGCCCATTTTCCAGATGTGAAAACTGAGGCTCTGGGCGGGAGTCCTCTTGCTCACAATCATTTCATGGTTGGAATTCAGATCATCTGCTCCAAAAGCCTTTCCTCGTAATCCTGATGCTGAGTGACTGGGGGTTTCTTCGACTTCTGGGCTTCCTTGCAACTCAATATTGCCTTGAAAGACACCTTGGATTCCAGCACGAATGCTCTGATTGCAGTCAAGAATCTGCACATTTTGAGGTGCAGTCCTTCAGGTGGCCGGGAACCCGCACCGTCTCCTCCAGGAAGCTGGCTCTAACTGGCCCCTTCTCTCTCTCCTTGCCACCCCCACCCAAACCCCCATAGGTGTGGATTGATGCTGGGACCCAAATATTCTTCTCCTACGCCATCTGCCTGGGGGCCATGACCTCTCTGGGGAGCTACAACAAGTACAAGTACAACTCGTACAGGCAAGTGTCACGCCAGCGGGCCTGGTGGACCTTAGAAATGATGATGTTTAAAGAAAAAAGAGAAGAAGTAGGGAGCGTGGCTTCCTTGTGTTGTGAATTAACTTGCTCCCTGACATATGTGTAACTTAGGGACTGTATGCTGCTGGGATGCCTGAACAGTGGTACCAGTTTTGTGTCTGGCTTCGCAATTTTTTCCATCCTGGGCTTCATGGCACAAGAGCAAGGGGTGGACATTGCTGATGTGGCTGAGTCAGGTATGGTGGTATTGGTGGCAGTGGTGGTGGGCACTGCCACCTAGTGTGTAAGCCGAGTACTGCAGGCATGAAGCCAGACCCCAGGGGGCTTTGGGGGGGGACGAGCCTGGTTTCCGAAACGGACCCCCCCCACCAAGATGTCCCCAAAGTATCAAAGAGTACAAAAGCTAAATTTTAAGCACTTTCATTGCGATTTGGCCCGAGGGGCTGCAGAAACGTGGGGGCTGGTTAAGTTGGGGACTATTTAGCTACTTTTGTGTGGTCTTCCCTCCCTCTCCTTCCCCCCGCAAACTCCTGGTTTCAGCAACAGAAACCACTTTCCTAACTCAGGCCCACGCCAGCCACCAGTCGGCATTCCATCACCACCTTCTCAGCTTTGGTTTCTGTATTTTGCACTTTGCTCCCAGCGCGCTCCCTCTAGCAAACCCATTCATTCATTCCACCGATGTTCTTGATTAACGGAGTCTGCCCTGTGTCAGGCACCACCGTAGGCGGCGGGTGGGGGAGAGACAGTGGGCATGCCGGCCGCCCTCTGGGACGGTGACAGATCCAATTTGGGGGTAGGTTGGGTGTCACCCCCTCAGGGTGTGGGCCCTGTTGGTGGGGTGCTCCTTCTGGAAGTAGAGGAAAGAGTCTTGGAATTATGGACTCTGTAAAGCCTGGGATCCTAGGCTGGGATCCTGGAGCTCCAGCAAGGTGGCTCTGGAACCTGAATATGATGAGGCCTTCAGTTGCTAAAATCCTAGAGCCTCAGCACCACAGTATTCTAGGACTTGCCCCTGGATGTTCTAAGTCCTAGAACCGCAGCTATATAACCGCAGTGGTTTGGATATGGGAACAAGAACCATAGGCTCCCAGGATCCCCAAATTCCACCTTTGCCCATTCTCCGCCTCACTCCTATCCTGCCCATTCCCTTGGCGGGTGGTCGTCAGCTGCGTGGAAGGTTTGGTTATTTTGTACACGTCCTCTGCTGCACCTGACCTCCTGATTTCTCACGACTTCTCTGGGACCACCTGGAGGCAGGCGAGGGTCCTGGGCAGAGGCTTCTCTCAGGCCCAGAGGGGAGCCTAATGTCCTAACTCCAGGGACCACCATGGACCAGAATCAGACAGAGCTGGAGCCCTTGCCTTGGGCATTACCCTTGCCCTCGTGGGAAACTGGGCGGTGTCCTGGTTCCTCAGCCACAGAACCCTAGCGTTGGGGGTCAGGGATACCTCAGCCTTGTGCATGTAGACATCTGTTCTGCAGATGAGGAGACCAGTGGCTTGAGAGCAAGGGCCTTGCTCGGGCTGGTAAGGGTCTGAGCTGGGGTCTCCTGGACAGGCCCCTCTGACATGAGGACCTCCCCCGCCTCCTGCCTCCCCCCACCCCCGGATGCACGTGACAGCTCTGGTCTTCCCTGTGTGAGAATGCACCTGAGCTCCTCTGACCTTCTCTGACCTCCGAGCCTGTGGGCCCTGCTTTCATCCTCACTTAGCGAAGATATTCTCTGCCACCCTCACACCCTCCAGTGTTGCAGGACAAGGGTGGCAAGTCCACAGCTCAGCCCCACACATCTCTCAACTGCCCCCAGTCCCAGACCTGACCGTCAAACGTAGCTTTCCTACCCCAAGAGGCTGGCCAGAGACTGAGGACACAAAGTAATTCCAGAAAGATCCACACCCACTTGGGAGTGTGACAGTTCCAGTGACGAGGGGGGAGACAATTTGCAGTTCCTTTGCAGTGCCTTTTTTTAGTTGAGGGCTTACAAACCAGTTGTGATTGCCAGGAGCGTGGAGTGAATTTGGTGGTGGGATATATAAAATTGATCTTTCTCCGTGGACAACTAGGTATTTTTATATCTGTCTATATCATCACCCTAAGTTGTTTTCTTCCTCCTGTCCACTTCAAACACCTTGTCGTTTATTCCCCACGGTGATGTCTGAACAGCTGACACATCAAGGGTGATTATTTCTCTAATAAGCTTTTAACAAGCACCATATTGAGCGAAGTGCATTTGAACCAGATCATTATTTAGCCGAACGGAGTGCACACGGCGCAGGCAGGGGTGCGTTCTCTGCTCGCGGAGAGGCCTGCGTTGGTGCTCGGAGCGGCTGCGTTCCTTCACATGGACTTCTCTCTCTATAGTTCACCGTGCGCTTTTAGAGAAAGATGCTCAGACCCTCTCCCAGAGGCTGGCTTGACAAAGGCAAAACTGAAATACAGAAACGAGCGCGTTGAGAAAACCTCCACCAGGCCCCAGTGGGCGGCGGGTGGCGGGCGGCAGGTGGGGGGTGGGGGGCCCCATTTTACATCTGTCTCGCAGTCGGCTGGACTCGAATCCCCGCGCACTGATGCCTACCAGTCGGGCCAGAGCTGGCGTGGAGGGGGCCCCGTGGGCCCCAGCCGAGGTGCCCACGTGGCTTCTGTTCCAACTTGGGCTTTGGGGTTGGTACAAGCGCCCCTTCCCCCACTTCTCGTGGGATTTTCTACCGTCGCAGCCTGGGGACTCCAGGTCACGGTCGGGTTTTCCTCAGTCGGGTAGACTCGGGCCAGTAGGAGGGCTCACCCTTGCCTGCCACGGTTGTGGTTAACACCCTACGGTGTGGTTTCTGGCTCCAATTTATTTTACAGTTTTGTTTTTGTTTTTGTTTTTGTTTTTGTTTTTCATTCCTAAGCCAGTTCTTGGGTTTCTGATATCTGCTCTAAATATCCTGCCCTCCAGCCCTTTTTTGTCTTCACATTTCTTGACCTTTTTAAAATTAATTAATTAATTTTTTTTTTAAGTTGTGGATTTTACTTTGTTTTTTCAGCCCCGGGCCCTTTCAGGCCTCCTTTCTGTTGCTGCTTCCTACCACCTCTTGCACCTGCAAGCCTCAGTTATGGTTCCTCCCCCTGGCTTCTCCCCTCAGGCCCCCTGGAGACCGGAGGAGACCTTTCCCTCTGTCTCTGGAATGTTTCCAGTCAGAAAGGTGCCCCCTAAGCTGGCGGGGCTCCCATCTCCCACACCTTGCCTCCAGATTCTGCCAGAGTCCCCTCTTTAGAAACCAGAAGCCCTTTTCTAGGGTAGTGGTCTCAGCATCTGAGAATCTGAGCACAAGAAGGCTCCTTGGGAGGCATTTCTGGGATCGTGCCCCTCACTTCCCAGGTGGGGAAACTGAGGCCCTGCAGGGGCACGTGGTGATGTAAAGAGGAGATGGCGGATGGTCTCCTGAGCCCGGGGTCTTGCCCTGCGCACACCTCCCTTCAGCTTTGGGCCCTGGCTGTGACGTTGCTCAGGTGGGGTGCGCAGATGCACCCCTGAAGAGATGTTGGCCCTGCAGGGCGGGGTTCTGTACTCTTTCACAGTGTTTCAGTCAGAAGTCCAAACCTTTTCTTTGCAAACGGGGGCTTCAGTAGTTCAGATAACCAGATCTTTCCCCCTTTGCTTCCTTCCAGCAAACGTTGGCATGGTTGCTCTGGTTTGGGAAGCTGGGGGGGGGGCCTCCTTTTTCAAGCCGGTAGACTGAGTCCCAGGCTCAGTCCCATTTCCCTCACTTAAATGCCCGGTGCCTGCCGGATTCTGTGAGGCCACGGGTGCTGCTGCCTAGGAGACAGATGCTAAAACGGGGCCCCGCCCGAGCCCCAGTGCGCCCCGTCCGAAAGGGAGGCAGGCCTGGGCTCTTCCCCCAGGCAGGAATTCCGACCCGGCTCCTCCCTGCATTTGGGGTTTGGGACACCGCCTCAGTCCCGAGTGTCTTTGTGTGAGCTCCAGTGCTCCGGGGGGCTCAGTCACTAATGTGCCCCCCCTCTGCCCCTCCCCATTCTCTCTTCCCTCTAGGTCCTGGCCTGGCCTTCATTGCCTACCCAAAAGCCGTGACCATGATGCCGCTGCCCACGTTTTGGTCCATTCTCTTTTTTATTATGCTTCTCTTGCTTGGACTGGATAGCCAGGTAGGTACGGGTCGAGGGGACGCCGTGGGGAGGGCTCACCCGTGGGGAATGGGGTTCCAGGAAGGCCCCCTTCAGCGTGCCATGTGTGAGATGGTCACCCCCTTCCCACCCTCACATCAGACTTGCACCAGCTGCAGCCAGCAAGGCTTCCTCTAGGGCCCCGGGGGGTGGGGGTGAAGAGGCCTCAGGGCAGCAGGAGGAGGACCTCTGGCCCAGAGCTCGAGTCTTGGACCCCAGCCAGGGGGAAATGGACACATGAAGGGTGTGGTCAAAACGAAGCCATAGACGGGAAGTGGAAGGACAAGACCAGGTGGTGATGATGTGTGCCCGTGGAGGGTCCCGCAGGGGCCCCTGAGTGACGCGGCAGATAGGTAGTTCGGGGCGGGGATGACAGTCATGGCCCAGGCCATCCCTGGTTGTCCTAGTGCAGCCAGAGAAGCCTAAACCGCACCTGGTGTTCAGTGAGGCCTGGAGCCTGGGAGTTGTTCCCCATGCAGTGAAACTGTGATCCTCCAGTGCTCGGTGAACAACTAAGCCCTGGGGAGCCTCGCTCAGACCCCCCTGCCCTCTGGCCCTCCTGGCTTCTGCCCTCCCACGGCAGGACTCCATCGTATACCCACCACCTGTGTGTGGCTATTTCCCTGCACGTCTTAACCCCTACATCCCATCCCTCCAGGGCTCAGGCCTCCAGCGGGTATGTCAGTGAGAGCCAACCAGAGGCCAAGTCTGGCTTTGGAGCCACAGCTGCAAGCCCCCATGCCTCTGTGTGGCATCTTTTCCTCCCCTGTCTGAGATTCAGTTTTCTCATCTGGTAAATGGGTGTGATTATACCTCCACTGGCTTGTATGAAGTACCAGGCACAGTGCCCGATACAGAGCAGCTAGTGGTGCTTGGAGGACAGTAGAGTGAACTCCTGGACACGTTCCCCTGGAGATATGCGTATTCACCTTGGGGGTGTCTCAGGAGGACAGTTTAGAGCACGGGCATGACTCTAGGACCAGGGAGCTAGGGTACGCAGGGCGGGCCGGTTCCCTACAAGCCGTGCCACCCAGGGGCCAGCATCTGAAAGGTCGGCGTTTTGCTGTCTCCTGTGTTGTGTGGGTCTCTGGCCGCCTCCTGGGAAATCTTTGGTTAGCTGGGACCCTGTGAGAGGTGAGGCCTGCTGCCAGGTCAGGAGAGGGCTTCACCACCTACCCGTGGGCAGCAGCCTCCGCACCGGGGCCCAGGGTGGGAGCATCTTAGAAGGTCGAGCAGAGGAGAGGAGGCAGTCTGCCAGCAAGGTCAAGAACAGAGCAAAGGATTTGGCAGGATGGGGACCAGGATTAGCAGAGAAGACAGAGTGGAAACATTTGGGAGCCTGAAAACAAAATACTTGTGCAGTTGTTGGTGGGCTTGAGCTGTATAAACAGCAAGAGGACTCCATTAATCATCCCTCGTTAATGAGTTTGGCCTTCGGAGGCCCCAAGCAAATGGCTTTTACAACTTCTTCCAAAGCTCTAAGTGAAAACAAAAAACAAAAACAGAGAGAGGTTAATAAATGACAAAGCATGACATCTCCATGGGCCCCAAATGGGCCTCTTGGGCTGTGGAAGCTGCTTCCTGAGTGAGCAGAGGTGGTTTATTCATTAGGTTTTTTTCCCTGGGAGGCAGGGGGGGCCTGGCTGGGGGTCTGCACCTCTGAGCTAGGCCTCATGGCGGCCAACAGGCTCGGGGCATCGTGGCCAGCTCTCAAAGCCAGCCTCAGGGGGAGCTGGTACCCTTTCCGCTCAGAACATGAAACTCAAGTTTCAGAGCCCTTAAATGACCTGCCTGATTGATATACCAAGAAGAGCATGATGGGGATTTGAACCCCAGGAGCTAGGGCATGGTGTCTCGGGAGTCTGATGGCCTCCTTTGGAATCCCTCCTTTGCATCTATCGGCTGTGTGAACTTGGGGACGTAGGGGAAGGTTTTGCAGATGCCGGTGACCGCCTCATGCACCGTGAATACAGTCGGAGCTCTGTCACGTGAGGCGTTCCTGTGGGCAAGGCTTCATGCTGGGCTTTTGATGTACCTGCATGTGGCAAAATGCACATAACATAAAATGGACCGTCTTAACCATTTTTAAGCATGCAGTGCAGTGGTGTTAAGTACATTCATGCTGTTGTGCGACCATCACCACCCTCCATCCCCGGAACTTTTTCGTCTTCCCAAACTAAGCTCTGTCCCCATTAAACACAAGTCCCTATAGCTGGGCACAACTGTTGCCCTGTCGAGCCCAGAAAACCGAGGCTGAGGGAGACAAGGACTCGGCTGAGGCCATGCAGAGCTGGTTTAAGGAATGGGCTTGCCCCTGGGGCTACTCGTTCCCTGACCTGTTAATTCATCCCCCCTGGCCTTACCTTGGAGTTCTCCCAAAATAGCTTCCTCCCATGGAAGTGAGGAGATGCCCAGGCAACCTCAGGCAGAGGCCTCTCGCTGATGGAGTGTGACCCTTGCACGTAAAGGAAACGCCCTCCCAGATGCCTAGCATCCGTGGGGAGCACTCTTTGGCTTAGGATCCGTAGTACCATTGTGTATTTCTTGGTGAGGTGGAGGAGGGATGCCATGTGCCTGGAGGCAGATGCTTTCATGAGAGAGCCAACAGCACCGGAGGAGGAGAGATGGCCCCATCTCCCTGCGACTCACTCAGCCCCTGACTTGGGTTCACAGCAATCACGCTATTGCCAGTTTTTCCTCATGATTTCACATCTTTCTCAACATCCCTGCTGAGTAGGCAAGATCCCCCCGATAGTATAGGGGAGAAGACTGACTCTTGGAGAAATCAGATCCCATAGCTATTCAGTGAGGGAGGTCTGAAGAGTCTGGTGGAGCAGGGCTGAGGGGTGGGGAAGACGTTCTCCAGAAAGGCAGGGAACGTGGAAATGAGGGGCTTGTGCTGGTCTTGACCCTGACTCACAGTGACACTGTACCTTCCTGTCTTTAATTTCCCCATCTCAAAAAGGAAAGGACCTTTGTTTCTAAACTCCTTTTGAAGATTGATGTTTGAGCTGGTTTTCTGTAATTCAGTGGCGATTTAGGGTCAAAACCCCATTGGCTGACACGTCAGTCAGAGGTCAAACCATCAGCCACTTCTCTTTGGGCCCCTTTCAAGAGCCTCTTGCTCATCTTTTCCCTGAAATCCTGGCAATGAAGAATCATTTTTCCAGCCCCTTTCAGTCGTGAAAGGGATTTGCTCCTTGTTTGTATTCCTTGATCCTCCTGTGATGCATCCCAAAGGAGTTAAGTGGTTGGATTTTTCTTGTAGGAATGCTGGGTAAACATCCTTCCCAAATGCCTCTCACAGATGAAAGAACAGAAAGGTCAAGGTTTTAGCTTTTCAACTTTTAAAGGAATCCGATGGACAGGCCTTGGAGGGTGTGTTGGTTGGCAGAGCAGTTTGGCTGTAGCTACCCAAATGTAAAATGCTTCTATGTGCCCTTCACCCCTGAAGCTTCACTTCCAGGTTGTGCTGCGATACCTACGCACCAAAGCTAGAGGGAGAGGCAGAGTCCTTGCCCAGGTCAGCAGCCGCAGGAGGCTGGAACCCATCCGTCAGGCATCGGTCAGACCCATGACGATACGGGTCCGCAGGACAGAGTTTCGTGTTGCCATTTAACACAGAGGCAGCTCTCCGTGTAATGATATGGATCAGTCTCTTAAGTTACATTGTTAATTGCAAAGATGGAAAGATTTAGAGGGATTGAGAATCATCCTAGCACATTACCCAAGGAGGGGCCCCTTCAAATGGGCTTCTTTCCCTTTGGGAGTCCAGGAATGGGTTCCTGGGGGCACAGTGAGCCCTTGGCTCACACATGTGGGCACTTGGATTCTTTCATGGATCCACAATCCCCACGGAGCTAAAACCACCGTGTGAATCTGTTGGGGAAAGTGGGGCCCAGACTTGCCCTGAGTTAGCCCCCTCCCCATTCTTCATGTGTCTGCTGGGCAGCCACGCGTGCCTGGCCCATCTGGGCACTCGAGGCACAGAAATGAGGGGACACTGCCCTCAGCATCAGAAGGGACCAAGACTGAAATGGGGGGAGGTGTTCGTGCCAACACATATTTTCCAGCCAGCGGGCTAAGGCGGAAGGTCAGCATTGGCTTCAGAGAAGAGGTCATTCTTGAGCTGAGTCTTGAAGGATGAAGGAAAGGCATTCTGAGGAGCTTAAGCAAAGAGATGGACGTGTGGGATATTTGGAGAACTGTGTGTGGCCCACTGTGGCTTGACCAGCAGGCGGGACTCCCCAGGCAGAGCCTACCAGGTCAGGTTCATACATTTGGACTTGACCCCCCAGGCTACTCGGCGCATGCTGGGGACTCTCTGAGCAGAGGGGAGGTGCTGGGCACCTGGGGCTCAACCACTCTCTTCTCCTCCGCAGTTTGTTGAAGTCGAAGGACAGGTCACGTCCTTGGTCGATCTTTACCCATCCTTCCTAAGGAAGGGTTTCCGTCGGGAAATCTTCATCGCCTTCGTGTGCAGCATCAGCTACTTGCTGGGGCTGGCGATGGTGACGGAGGTAGGTGGCTTTCTCACGTGGCACGAGGGACCATCCTCTCTGCAGGGCTCTTGGTGACCTCCATACGCTGCAAAGATCGGGTCAGGGCTGGACTGACCCCCGCTAGTGAAGGCAGTGGCTAGGTGGGAGGACCAGGGCAGGGGATCTCCTGGCCCCACCCTGCCCAGGGGACCTGGCCTACACTGTGGGCAGCGGGAGGCAGCTCAGGACCCACCAGTTGACCCAAACTCCCGGGGCCTTTCTCCTGTTACCGTGGCAACACCACGGCCAGCCCCTGCCCTTTGTCCCCCCCCCCCCAGGAGGCCTGGGGGAGAGGTACTTGAGCTGAAATCCATTTTAATAGCAGCTCTTTTCATCCGTGACTGTGCAGTGGCCCTTCTCAGGCCTGGGGGGAGGTGGAGACGTTCGTTCGAGAGGGTAAATGGAGACCTCCGGGTAAACACTGCAGGCAGTGCCCAGGCCTGTCTGGTTGACCGGGAGTGTGCGCTGTTCAGAGGATGGGCAGGGGCCACGAGGAGGATCCATCTAAATGGGAAGAAAGAAGCAGAGAGGAAGGAAGCCGGGAGTGTCTAAGGGAACAGTGGATCAGCTGTCTAAGAAGAGGCAGGCGAGAAAAGAAAGAGATTCTTGTGCTAAATAATAGAAGCATGGAAGCCTGGCATAGCCTGCTGTCTCATGCGCCCCTGCCCACCCACCTCCCCACATTCTCTAGCAAATCACTGCATTTGCCCCCAAACTCAATTTGGGTTTCCCATCACCACCTTTTCCTACTGGAAATACAAATAAGTGTTTCTCTAAGAGTGCCTTTAAGGAACACACACACACGCGTGCCAAAAGCAGATCATAGGTCCACACCGAGCAGCTCGGTATCACTGAAGTATTCTCTGCTGGCCCCAGTTAGTTTTCAGCACCTCCTTTGGAAGCGGGCTTTAGGAAACCCATCATTTTTGCTAAGGAAAACATGTTTTGTTTTCATTTTTCTGTGTGTGTGTTTTAAAGATTTTATTTTCTGAAGGAATCTCTGCGCCCAACGTGGGGCTCGAACTTATAACCCTGAGATCAAAAGTCACACGTTCCACCGACTGAACCAGCCAGGCGCCTCTGAGTGTGTGTTTTTAATTAAATTTGTCAAACATGAAGTTGAGCCTCTTTTCACACATGTATCTGGTCATCATTTTTCTCTTGGGTTTTTTATTTCTTAATGATATGCCAAAGCTCTTTATATATTAAGGGAGTTGGATACCAAATAGCAGGCCAACGTTCTCTGGTTTTTCCTTCGCAGGGTGGCATGTATGTGTTCCAACTCTTTGACTACTATGCAGCTAGTGGTGTATGCCTTTTGTGGGTTGCATTCTTTGAATGTTTTGTTATTGCCTGGATATATGGTGAGTACACATTGTTGTATATCCTTCCTCAAGTCTCCGCTGTGGGCCTCTGTACTTAGAAGCTTCCAAAACAGAATTCTCAGGGGAATTCATTGAGTTGAACACAAAGGCCTTCCCTATCTGGACTTTCCCCCTCCAGACTGCCCCTTCCCTACAGCAATAATACCGTTGTGGCCACACTGTATATTCTCCCCTCGCTGAAGATGCAGGGTGTGACTGTATGTTTTGGCAAACACAGAATTTGGCTAATGCAGGGGTCTCCCTATGATTTACTGCTCTGGGATCCAGGCATGGTCCCTTTCAACCCTCTTGAGACCTTGGATTGGCCACACGAGGTTTTGGGGCTTGTCTAAGTTTGCCTAAAAAATATAGGATGCCCAGTTACATTTGAATTTCAAGTAATTTCAGATAAACGCCTACCACTCTTGGGTCTTTGTGGCGTCGAGTAGCAGGGATCTGGAGCAGACCCCAGGGACCCCCTCATGGCCCTTGAGCCCCTTCTGTGCAATTCAGATGCTAGTGTTGGACACTGTGTCGCCATCTGTCTACCTCTGTCTCTCCTAGGCAGCGATAACCTTTATGACGGTATTGAGGACATGATTGGCTATCGGCCTGGGCCCTGGATGAAGTACAGCTGGGCCGTGGTCACTCCAGTTCTCTGTGTTGTGAGTTCTGCCCTGCCTTTCTGTGGGTGCTAGCCTTTTCTCCTTGGGGCTTTCTCCTTGGGGCTTACCTGCTAAACCACCTTTCACTCAGCATCTGCCAAATGCTGGCCTCTAACAAGCCCAGCGACACCTCTGCCTGGGAGAGGTGGGGCCGCAGGCTGCTCCCAAAAGTTACCTTGAGATGAGTTTTGAAGGATAAGTCAGGTTGGGCAGGAGGTTATGTGCTCCGTTGTGGACCCCCTGAATTTCTCAACATGCCCCAATACACAAGCCCAGGATATACAGGTTACGAGCTGGTCAGGAAGGGAAAAAAGGAAGGGCGTTCCTGGCAGAAGAACCAGCATGGGCAAAGCAAGGCATTCTGAAAGAAGAAGGTGTATCGGGGCATGTTGAGAAATTCAGGGGGTCCACAACAGAGCACATAACCTTTGCCCAAGCCCTTCTGGGACTCAATGAGCTCAGTTTGGGTCACTGATTAAGTTGAGGGGCCTTTGGGATGTCAAATGGAGACAGGTCATAGACGTTGGAAATGCGGTGTTTCCATGGCAGGGCGGGGGTTGTGGGAAGTCCCAGCAAAGAGATGCTCTGGACTCTCCCAAGAACAAGGAAGCTTCGTACCCACCCAGGACCCAAAGGCAGTGATGTGCCACATTCCTCTTCCCACCAGGGTTTCCTCACCCGCCATCTTGGAATGTAGCTTAGAGCATGCCCAGGCACCCCACTTCAAACTTCCACTCAGAGGCTCTGGCAAAAGAGAAGTCTTCGGCTTCCCTGTCATTGTTTGAAACCAGTCGTGAGCTTTGGAGCTGACTGCAGGGGAAGACATCTGCTATGCCATTCTCAGCTCATACCGTGGGGAGTGCAAATGGCAGAAATGTTCCTTACATTTAGGAACCAGGTGCTGAGAGATGAATGGGATCCTCCCCTCAGTGACCCCGCTCCCAGGCCAGAATAAATCCATACTGCCCTTAACTCACTGTGTGGGACCGTAAGCAAGTCCCTTACGCTGGGGCCCCGGTTTACCCCATCATAAAGCAAGGTCTCTGCAGTGGGAGGTGAGTGGCAGCCGACAACCTTAGGTTGTCGACTGCCACCCTTGAATGTGGCTGTGGTCTTCTCACCTGAGGTGCGTATTTTCCCCACAAAATTCAGTAAACTGTAGCAGCCAGGAACCACAATTGGCGAGTTACTGTTGGAGATGAATTTAGTTGGGTTCAAAGCCCGTGTTCTCGTCCTCACTTGCCGATGGTTTGTGAGAAACTCCTCTCACCACGCTGACCGTCAGCTTCTTCCACCTTCCCTCCCCGAGGGGTGGGATAGATCAGAGGTGGCCTGCATCCCCAGGTGGTATAGGATAAGGTCACCCTGGTAGAAAGAGGAAGACCAGTGGGCAGGGACCAAGCTTCCTGGTGCTGGGAGAGCCTAGAGCAGCCCTCTTCTGGGCCTCTCCCTGTCTAAGCTACACCCCACCCTTAGGGACGGGAACAACAACAGGGCCAGACACACAGTAGACGCCTATAGGGGGAGCTGTCTGCAGCCTAATGCTCTCCCTTGCCCCATCACTAATTCTGATTTCTGTAGATTTGTCTTTCCATCAAACCCCAGATATTAGGTAGTGGAGATTTAAGTCATGTTTACACTGTGGATGAAGCTACAACAATCCTGGGTCATTTCACTGAGATGCTGGAATTCTGACAAGAAGCAGAAGTCCTGGGCCCTCCCAGCCAGCCTTATGTGCTCTTCTCAGGGAAATACGGACTTTGCATAGGCTTTTGGGCTCAGAGCTCACCGTACCCCACCATTCATGGATGCTGATGGCCCCCGGCCGTTGGCATGGGCTTGGGGCTGGACACCCAACTGGGCAAGGCCCAGGTCCACACCAGGTCCTGGGAAGCTAGGCCTGGGCGTCAGGGATGGAGATGTGTGGGTGACAGTGGGGAAGGGGAGGAAAGACTTTCAGCCATGCAGTTAGTGTTTATTACGCACCCGCTGTGTGCACCCGGACCTGCACCAGGTGTTAGAGAACTGGGGGAGAACCAGACTGACTCCCCCCCTATCCTCACTGACTCAGTTGGGTGGGGGAGTGTGTGCTGAAGAAGTAATTATAACCACATGCTTCCAGGGAAGGAAGAGGGTGGGCACCTGACTGCGTCTGGGCAGGGCCTGGACAAGTAAGGCAGGACCGCGAGAGCTAAATCAGGATGAGAAGATGAAGGGTGAAGGGCTCTAGTCAGAGAACAGCCTGTTCTAAGGCCCCTGGGCAAGTGGCTGAGGAGCTGGAAGGATTGCAGGGCAGCTGGAGTGTGGACATGGAAGAAGGCGTAGTGGGTAGGTAAGGGGTGAAGGGGCACAGCTCTGGGCTGACGTCGCTGGCCAGGCTGAGGAGTTTAGATGATGTCCGGAAGGCAATGGGAAGCCCCAGAACGGTCCTGAGCAGGGAAGCCGCGTGATCAGATTTGCCCCAGGGCAGGTCCTCAGGCAGCAGAGTGGAGAAGGGTGGGAGGCTCCTCGGGTGGGGGCTGCCCTGGTCCCCGAAGCTCTGTGGGCCCCCAATGCCCAGGGCCCCCCCTAACTGTGCTATCTCTCCACAGGGATGTTTTATCTTCTCTCTCGTCAAGTACATCCCCCTGACCTACAACAAAGTCTATGTGTACCCCACCTGGGCCATCGGGCTGGGCTGGAGTCTGGCCCTGTCCTCCATGATGTGTGTCCCCTTGGTCATGGTCATCCGCCTCTGCCAGACGGAAGGGCCGTTCCTCGTGGTGAGCACATGGGGCTGAGGCTGGATGTGGGGGATGTGGGAAGGCGAGAGGCGGGGAGGGTGAACGTCACCTACCGGCTGTTGGCTGTCGGTTTGCTGTGTGACCTTGGGCACATCGCTGCCCTCTCTGGGTCCTGCACCCTTTGCCTGCCCTGTGGTGGGGTTGAGATTTTGGGCAGGCACATGGGGGAACGGGAAAAAAGAATAGTTCATGGTGACAAAGGTTCTGTGGTGAGGTTCAGAGCAGGGCTGTGGGCAGGAGGAGGAATTCGCCAGGCAGAGAATGAGACATGGAAGGCCGTGATGCCCAGTGCATTCACAGGCAAGGACGTGTGACAGCACTTGGGCAGCAGTGACATGTTCTGGGGGGTGGGTGATGGCTGTGGACAGGTGACCGTGGTTTTGCGTGCCAAGCTCGGAGCTAGGGCTTTATCCTGGGAGCAGTGGGGGCCGTGTTGCTGAAGCTGTAAGACAGGAGACAAGGAGCCGGGAAGGAAGCCTGAGCTCCACCCAGAGGCCTTCTCTTACCCTGAAGCCAAGTTTTGGATAAGCCCAACCCATGCTGGTGTCCCCTTCCCCACATCTGTGGCCCCGTCTGCTGCCGGAGACAGAACCTCAGGCCCCCAGGTCCCTGTGCCTGCCAGGCTCCCACCCTGAGGCCCCCTCCTTACCACCAACCCCTCAGAAATTTCTCCCAACAATACTGCAGATTCCAGGCTGTCGCAAAAGCTGAGGCTCTTTCCAAGAAATCCTTTTCTTAGAATCTCCCTTAACCTTTGGGCTTGGGCCAGCTCCAAGACTACACTGTTTTGTTCTGGGCTGTTTTTATTGTTATTCTCTTAAAAATCTGGAGCCAGGATGTCCTGGGGCCCTGGCTCCCCTTTGGGCTGGGCCAGTTTCCTTGTGGGCAGGGGAATGGCCTGGAGGTGATGTTGGTGGGGGGAGAGGGGCGGCCCCGGGCAGAAAGGGAGCAGCCTGCCCTAGACAGAGGAAGTAGGCGGGGGTGTGCCCAGGAGGAAAACAGGCCATGAAGCTGGGGTCTGTCTGAGCCAGGACAGCCCTGGGGCCCTTGGGGGGTTCCTGCAGCAGTGGACCCATTGTAATTTCTCAGGATACAGGGAAGGACCCCAGTGTTCAGCCAGAATACTGGTAGGCCCTATGATTTGTTAAAACCCTTAACTACTGGGTCTGGAGACAGATGGGTGATTGCTACGGCCCTGAGCCCTCCACATGTCCCCCCCTAAACACTCTATGCCAACCTAGCCCCTCCCTGGGAATTTCCAGAATGTCCCTACTACCGAGAAACTAAAGGGGTAATTGGGGCACAGCAGAGGGTCTTGTATGCCTGTACTGATTGGTCAGTGCCCACAGCAGTTGCAGATTTCAACCGTGGAGGGGGGACACCTGATGCTAACTTGTGTCCCTTCAAAGCTTAATTTGAAAATAGTGTTCCATCCCAAGTTTAGAGGTTTGATGAGAATGGGGTTTGTGTGGGGGAAGGAAGAGGGTGTGGGTGAGGCCTCCACCCAAACTTGCACCTACAAACCGGGTGGATAACTAAAGCCCCCTCCTCTGAAGGCATGGGAGCCCCCATCGATCTATTTGCTGTGGGCCCCTCGACCTGTCTCCCGGCTGTGCTCCCCACCCATGAGCGTCTCTCTGAGCCAGGTTTGCAAACCCAGAGCTCTGTCCTGGGAGGACCCCAGTTCCGTCTGCACCTTCCATATAGCTGGAGCCCCGGCTGGCTGCCTGGCATTGTCTACCTCTTGTCCCAACTTCTGGGCGTGCACCTGTGCAGAGAGGCAATGTGGTGGAAGGGAGCTGAGCCTGCTCTCTGGCTGCCCTTCCATCCCTTGCCCTTTACCTGGGGCCTCCAGGCCAGCTCCCCCAGGACCAGGCAGGGAACCCAGGCGAGGGAAGCCATCAGGCAGGGCTGGGAGGGACCTGGAGAAGGTGATCCAGAGCTGCGGCAGGCAGCCAGGCCCTCAGCTGTGGCCTGCTGTGACCAAGAGGGGGTGTGTGGCTCTGGGGTTGCCAGATCTTGCAAGTTTTTGAGAGCAGATGGAAATCTGGATTTTCCAAGTGAAATACTGTAGCTTTTAATAAGCATCTTAAAAAAATTGTAATATACTTAAGCGGCATGTAAATGCCTAAGTAGGAAGGTTTCTTCTTCACGACTGCTTCCTACTGAAGTCTCTGAATGGACGCTTGGCAGGAGGGGAGCTGGGAGTCAAGAGCCCTGAGTTGGCCACTGTTGGCTTTCTGGGTGTCCTGGGAAGGGGTCTTTGCCTCACCGAGTCCCTGATCTGGCAACCAGCCAGGAGGACAAAACTCACCCTGCCCAAAAGTGATGGGATGATTCTTGTGCAGTCCGACCTCTGGCTCCTCTCTGTCAGAAGATGCAGCTCCGACATGAACAGTGGTCTCTGAGCCCCTAGCCCGGAGAACCAGATACCTACGGGGGGAAGGGAAGGGACCCTAGTGCAAGAAGGCAGGAAATGCAGTTTACGGGCAGCTGAGGAATTTGGAGTTTCTCCTTGGGGAAGGTGGGAGCCATAGGAGGCTCACAACAGTTATCCAACCTCTGGCATACAAATTGCAGAAACTCGGGCTGCTTTGCAAGTCAGAGAAGTCAGGGGATGGGAATTACAAGGAGGCATATTTCAGCTCCATGGGAGAAAGAAGTCGGAGCTGGGAGGTGTGAGTCCCCTGTCCCTGAGGTGGGCAAGCAGGGGTTGGCCAAGGGAACTACTGACAGGAATTCTGCCCTGATTCAAGGCCCGGAGGGACCTTAGAAGCACCCTAGTTCGACTCCTTCGTTTGCCAGTGGATGCCTTGGGGGAGCCAGAGTGGGTCCTAGTTCGCCAAAGGCCAGACAGCACACTGGCCCGACTCAGAGGGTGTAGACCGTCGTGGCGGAGTGGGGAAGCAGGCCGCCTGACTTTGCTCTCTGCTCCCGTCCCCTTGCTTCTCCAGAGACTCAAGTACCTGCTGACCCCAAGGGAACCCAACCGCTGGGCCGTGGAGCGCGAGGGGGCTACGCCCTACAGCTCCCGCCTGGCTGTGAACGGCGCTCTCATGAAACCGACCCACATCATAGTAGAGACCATGATGTGAGCTCTCGGGCAGACGGGCTGCTTCCCTGCTGTTTACTAACATTAGATTCTCATAGGACCAGGTTTACAGAGCTTTCTATTTGCACTAGGATTGTTTTTTTTAATTGTCACAGAAAATGTTACTCTGTGTGTGTGCGCGCGCGCGTATGTGTGTGTGTGGGGGGGGTGTGTGCGTGTGGTATTGTGCGTATGTGTATTTTGTTTTGATTTGGGGATATTTTGTATAAAAAGAAAACCCACCGGCAGATGTCCGGGGCGAGGCAGAGTTTTCGTATTGAATTAGATGTATTTTATGGGAACTTGGTAAATTTCTCTTTGTATTTTTTTTTACATATAATTATATATACATTTAGAGATTGTCATACACTTTTACCACTTGAATTGATCTTCTTGCCAGCAATAGATCTCGTTTTCAAAAGCAATTCTTCGGTGCTTGCGTAGCTGGCAGAAAGTTCTGCCCCCAAAAACACAGGGTGGGATTTTCCTGGACAGCAGGCCCATTTTAAAGGTGTAGTACCTTCCCAACCTGGTTCACATAGAAGCGTACAGCTGGGGAAGGGGAGGCCCCACGAGCTGGCCAGACCCAGAGGGGCTGGAGAAAGGAGGGCCACAAGAAGATGCATCATTACACTTGTCTTAGCCAAGAAGAGAGGTGCCAAAATAATGAATCCACCCCTCACATCAAGGAACTGACCTAAAGCGGACAGATGAGGCCGGACCGCGGAAGTCTGATTCTCTAGAAACCGTTGCACCAGGAGCAAAATCCCACCTAATACTTTGAGATCGAGGGTGGATAGTCAGAAGGGCCATCCGACAGATTGTCAGAACGGTTCATCCGAGGGGGCGCCTGGCAAGAGCTCCCAGGAGGGCTTGGTGAGGATGGTGCCCCGACATTCAGGAGCCCTCAGGAGGCTGCCGGTGCGGCTGCCGCCCAGGGCATCCCAGGTAGAGGTCTGAGGCCCGCCCAGCAGGAGCCGGCAGTCTCGGGGCTCCAAACCTCACACAGATGGGGCGGTTGCATTTTAATGGGGTTCTTTAACCTTAAAGAACCTGGCCGCTCCCCAGCTGCCATCTCTTGAGCTGTGTGGGGGAGAGAAGCATGATGTATTCAGAGAGGGACGAGGGGTGGGCCGGTGGACCAAAGGGTGTGGGCCCAGGCGTTCAGGGAGGCCTGGTGTCAGGGAGGGGTGCTTTTTTTTCCTCATCTCTACCCCCCCAGTTCTGTCCTCGTCTCCCAGAGGCTGGGAGACTCCTGACAAGCTCCCTGCCCAGGGCTGCCCCAGCTCCTCGCTGGGGGTGCCAAGAGTGCTTTTGGAGGCTCCCCGAGTCTTGGATTCGGGTGAAGTGTTCCCAAACCCTCCTCCCCATTCGGGCACAAAAGCAGCCCTTGGTGATGACTCAGGAGGTGGCGAGGCCCTTCACGTCACAACCCCTGCAGTAGCCGGTGTTAGATGCGCACTATGTGGGGACCGAGGAGAGGAGGTGAGGGAGCGTTTTTTAGAAAGGTGGGACTGTTCAGGGGGCTGGCACCCCAGAACTGGTTTGACCAAGAGCCTGATTGAGAGTGGCATTCCTCTCTGAACTAGGAGTGAAGGTACTCCACCTTTAAAATCCTGACACGGACATGTCTCCACCCAAGCCCCCATTTGGACCCAAACTGTGCCATTTAAACTGTCACTTCCAAGTTCAGAGTCTAAACTAAACTGAAACATTGTCACGCAAAGACGACAGTGACTGCCTCGTGGGGTATGGAGAGTGAAGTCCAGCTCGGGTTTTCAGAGCGGGGGCTCTCTGAATCCTGGAACCCTCTCCCCAAATTCGGGAGGGGAGGAGCCTCTGGTGTCCCCGTCCCCAGGGGCAGAGGCAATCCTGAACCTCTTCTCTTTGGCAAGCATTCACATTTCACTGTTTCCAAAGCATATACTCTGCCAAACAATACCCAGTCCTATTCCAAACTGTTAACAATTGTGTGTTCCTTTTTTTCTATGTATTTATGGTTGCCGCTGTGTCTGATTTGATTTTTGTTGTTGTTGTTTCCTAATTTTACTGAGTAGCAATGTGACCTATTTTCCTTTGTCTCATGGAACTTAGTAAACTAACCACTGTCGACGACTGGGGACAGGCGATGTGTGGGGGTAAGGGGGGCTTGGCAAACTGTGGCTGCCTGGGCATTTGTGGTCATTTCAGGCTACAATATCTCCCCTCCGGTGAAAGGCTACAGTATTTTGGGTTAGTAGGCAAATTGCAACACTCTGGAAATGGCCTGAGAAAGGCTTCTTCCTATAAGATTCGCAGACCAAATTCTAGACCAAAGACACATGCAGACCAAGTCCCCAGGCCCTGCCTGGAAGGAAGGTCAGCCACTTTACCCAAGCCCACTCCTCGACAATCTCCCGGTGCACCTGTCTCCAGTTGGACCCTCTTGTCTACCCCCTTGCCCTTGTGTATCTGCAGAACTTGGCTCTGTGAGTACAAGGTGTAATGATGCGTGACTTCTATATGTCTCCACATAAAGGCAACTTGTCATTGGAGCTCATGACTCTGGTCCTCCTGTCTCTGGAGAACAGGCATTCCGCCCGCTCTCTGCCTTGGGATGGGTCAGAAATTCTGGTGCCCCCACGTAGCCCACTCAGCCGGCTCTGAGAAGGGATGCAAGGGAGAAGGTTAAAGAACTTTTTGAGGCTTCAGAAATGGGTAAGGGCCTCAGGATAAATCTCACCCAGGGAGATGCTTCATGGAGCCTGACACGGGCCATGTCAGTCCCTGCAGTGGACCTTCCTGCATGGTCAATGCCTCCCCGGTCAGCGCCCTTGTAAAAGGGGGGAAATGAGGTCCGGAGTGAGGAAGAGACTGGGCACACAGAGCAGGGACTGGAGCCAGACTATCTTGCAGTCGGTTCCAGCTGCGGGTTCTCCAAGGGGTGTGTGGCGAGTGGTGAGTGCAGCTCCCCATTGTTCTCCCTGAAGACCAAAGACGAGCCTTTATGAAAAAGGAAAGCTCTCTGTCCCCCAGCCTTCAGGGACGAGGAGAGCAGCACCCCCCCCCCCACCATCTTCGGGCCCACCGGACCTCACGCTGCGGCTCTGTGGGACAGGTGACTGCACCCAACAACCCTCTGAGCTAGGAATTGAGATCCCGATTGCATGTGAGGAAACTGAGGCCCAGTGAAGCCAGTTGGTGTACAAGAGGCAGAATCCCTTAGGCAACATTTAGCCTGAGGCCACGCAGGACATTCCCAGGGAGCGAGAAGTGGCCTTGGGGGATTTCTGGGTGACACACAGCCCCCTCTCTGCACCTCTGTTCCCTCATTCTCACCCCAGATCCCCAGCGCACCCCCCCCAGAGGAGGTGGTGAAGCACAAGGGGAGTGAGCCTCCCTCAGCCTAGCACGGGGTGATCTGTGTCACCCAGGTGCCACCACGTAGTGGTCCATGGCCCAGTCGGCATCTTCCCAACACTGCCCTTCTGGACCAGACAATGCTCTGGGCAGCCAGTGCTAAAGGCAGAGGTGCCTTCCTTCCCCTCAAGCCTCAGACACAGGCCAGGAAGGATCCAAGAGAAACATCGAGGTCCCATCCGGCCCGAGACCCCAGTGTCAGGCAGCCCCAGGCTGGGCTGTCCACGTGGATGCTGTAAATAGCACCGTGCAAAAATCCAACAAGCACAAACCAAACCAAATCCCAGATGTCAAAACTCAGAGCGGGTCGTGAGCAACCCGGAAGCCAGAGAACAGCATTTCCCTCGCCCCCAGCACCCTGTTGACGCCTGGCCCTCAGAATGCTCTTGTTTTAATAGGAAGCTATGTTTCATTGTTCTCTTGTGGGTGTCACTACAGACGTGTTCTGACAGTTCCCTGAGGGATGGAGCATCTTGTTATATATTTGGCTTCAAATTGAGATGTTGGCTCCATTTCTTTCTCCCCCCCCCAATTAATTTTCAAATCCCTAGCAACTGTGACTCTGTATTTAGCACAAGAGAAAGCTGAGAACGTGGGTCTTGCCTCCTTCCAGAAATATGTCTGGCTCATCAGGACTTTTTTTTAAAACTTCAAAATATTTTTAAGATATTTTAAACTTTTGTAAAAAAAAAAATCAACCAACGAGACTCTTCTGAGGAGGAACATTTGTATCTGAATAAGATCCTTGGTGTGTAATTCAGTCTTGCAGTATACAAGCTTTTGTGTATAAATGTTTTATGATATGAATCCCTGTATTTTGCAGGGCTTTTCTTTTCCTCTTTTGCTTTTTAGATAAATATGTATATCAATATTTTAAATTCATCTTTGCTTTTTTTTAGAGGAGTTTGTAATCACCTTATAACATGAAAATAAACATTTCCTTTTTAAAATCCAACACGTGTGGGTTCAATTTTGTTGAGGCTCTCTTTCCTTCTGTGTGGCAAGCGCCTGACAGTTTACAGAGGCTTTCACTTCTGCCCCAGGGTGCTCCCCAAAGGTGGTGTTGTCATCCGTGGTCGGAGACGCTGAGGCAGAGGATCACAGAGGGGATGCAGTCAACTCCAGGGCACATAGCAGTCTGTGAAAGCGTTGTCCTCCGACTCCTGGGTCTGCTCCGGCTGGTTCTACCGATGCTGGGGACTGAAGCCCACCTGCCGCACACCCAGCCCTGCAGGGCTGCTCACATCGGTCTCCCGAGCCTCAGTTTCCCCACTTGGAATAAACCACCGCCCCTTTTGAGGCTTTGGGCTGATTAGAGGTGATGCACCAGGAGTAGTCACTTATTGATGCCCAAGCAGGGGCTTTCTGATTGCCAAGTCCAAGAATGGGGCAGGCTGCAGGGAGGGGGTAAGCTCTAGAGGGATGCAAATAGAAATCATGCCACAGACACTGGGGCCTCAGAAGGGAGGACACGCAGGACCCCAGAAAATAAGTGGTTGGCACAGACGTCCTCTGCCTTGGGAATCATGTACCCAACCCACTGTTATAAATAGGGAAACTGAGGCAGGGAGAGGGGCTCAGCCTCGCTGGGGTCACAGGGCAGGTCGATGTTTTGGGCAGATCAATGAGTGTGGGCAAGTTCAGGAGGCTGCTAGGTCTTTTCCCCAACTTCCCAGACCAAAAAAGGTCTCTTGGTAACTCATTATTTATAGACGATGTTAGAATAAAATACCACTCTCCCAGCTCTTTTTCTAGCTATTGGCCTTTCTGATGGCCTCTGTCCACTTTCCTCCTCCCTGTGTGCCTTGGCCATATAACTTGTTCAAATTGTAGCTCCATCCTTTACTCCCCGTGGCAAATTACTTAACTTCTCTGTGCCTCCTTTCATCACCCAGAACATTGGGATGATAACAGAGCCACCTCTGAAGGCTGCAGGAGGACCCAGGGGATTCTTGAAAAGCACGCAGAACAATGCCTGCATGCAGCCGGTGTGTAGGACGTGCTTCTCCAGGTCACGACCTGCCCACACCTCTCCCCCTTTCGGAAGGGCCCTGAACCTATCGCCCAGCCCTGGGAGGAGCCACAGTGACCCGTGCACAGCTCGCCTTTGGCTTCCCTGGCCCAGCCACGTCGTTGCACCCAGCGTGGTCCAGCCAGGCTAGCACACCTCCAGAGATGGGGCACGCACTCCATCCTGCATGGTTGATGGGAAGAAGTGCTCCCTCTGTGCACACAGAGCTGTGGTCCCCCAGCGAGGCCTGGCCATGACCTCAGGGCTCATCGTGCCCTGGCTGCCCTGTGAAGACTCAGGGCATCGATGGGGCCACACTCAGGCTAAAGGGGCTCCATACAGCAGACCCACACTCACCTGCCTCCTTGGCTTTGCCCTGCCAACAGAACAAAATCCATAGTCCCTACCCAAACCCTTACCATTGGGCCCTGCAAACCTCCAACCTGGTCTCCCCACTCTGCTTTTGGGCCTCCTTTCTCTTCCTTGAACCGACCAAGCTCATTCTCACCTCCGAGCCTTTGCACTTGCTGTGCCCTCTGCCTGGGACACTGTTCTTCCCGGTCTCCCCGGGGGACTCCTGTCTTGAAGGTCTCAGCCCAAATATCACCTCTTCAGAGAATTCCCTCCTGACCCCTGAGCTAAAGCTCTTGCCCCCCACTTTATCCCCATGACTGGGTTTTTTTTCACTGCACTCCGTACCTCCTGAAATAATCCTTTACGATTTGCTCCCTCATTCACTGTCTTCCACCAGAGAATCTAAGCCCCATGCAGACGGGACCTCATCTGTTGTGTTCATGTTGTTTTCCCAGGGGCTGGAATGATGCAGAGCCCAAGCAGACCTTTAGAATGGATGAATTAATTAAAAACAGGGAAGATGTCGTAAGATCCAAACAGAAGGTGACTATTGCCAGCTTATGATTAAAAAAAACAACAACAAAAAAAAACAGCCACCACAATCTAGTTGCATTTAAATAATTTTATTTTAAAAAATCATCCCAACAGCACCCCCCCACCAGCTCCTAAGTCACTGCAACCCCTGGCAGAACAGATTTATACATGGGCCCCAAACAGACCCCAAATGGCCTTTGCAACACAGCCCCTTGGCATGTGCTTCCCAAGAGCCCTAAGAAAACCCCATGTAGAAAAATACTTTACAAGGAATATGCTCTAATCTCAGCCAGAGAAAAATACAGCTTTGGGGGGTGGGAGGAGCAGGTCACAGGAGCTGTACCCAAAATGCATAGGCAGGCAGGACGCTCACCGGGGACGGGCATTGGGAAATGTCAAGTCTGGGATCTATGACCCCCATGAGAAGCCAGAATATTGCATATGAGAAGGCTGGCCAGGGCCAGGGGCCACCTGCTGGGCCTGGTTGCATACGTCTGGGGGATGGCAGAGGCCTCAGCCGGAGGAGGCAGGGGGCACTGGTCGGGGAGGGGATGCTTCTTCCCACTGGCAGTTGAACGCAGCTGTCCTGAGCCGAGAGGCCCTGGGAGTGCAGACTGTCCAGCCCTGTCACTTGACAGAGTCCCAGAGAGGCTGGGCAACTTGCCTAAGCTCACACAGCTGCGGCTGCCAGTGGTCATGTCTCTGCTATGGCCCCTGGCCCCCCAGGCTGAGGGCTCTTGGCTTTTACTCGGTGCCCCTGTGATGGGGGGGAGGGGCAGTACCTTTTCACCCCGGGGCGGGTGTTTACACAGGAATCCAAGATAGCAGAGGCATTGGGCAGTCCAGTCCCGGCATGGAGGGCTCTCCAGGGAACGCAGGGAGCAGCAGGGTGTGGGGAAGTGGACGGAGAAGAGGGAACGCAGGCCCTCAGGGAGAGTGTGAGCAGGGTGCCCGGTGGGCATGGTTCTGGCCGTGACAGGGAGGCCCGCACTTGCTCACAAAGACTATCCACCCCTACATTGCCCAGAGAAGGTCAGACCGAGAGAAGGGTCACAGAGCAACCAAGCAGCAACCCAGAGCAAAAAGAACAAGCCTCTTGACTCCCCATCTTGTCCCTCGAGTGGAAGAGGATTTGGGGGCCTCCAAGGGACGGAAGCATGGAGGATGCAGGCGGGAGTGCATGCCCTGTTTTCCTGAGACCCCCGTTAAGAGCAAAGCAAACCCCCAGCCCTGACTGAATCCTGCCTGCCCACCTCCATCCCTGGGGCCGCAGCCCAGACCACCAGGTGAAGGCCTATGCCCTTCTCAAAATCAAAAGGATTTCTGGTCTGCGGGAAATGAGGACAGTGACTTTAAGGGATGCTGGTGCTTCCAGATTTCAAGTGGGAATAAACTTCCTTAAATGACCTCTTTGGACACTGTCACCTTTGGGCACGAGAGAGAATGGCCCATCGCTTTCCTGCCTGCCTACGTCTGTCTCTGTGCCTCCCTCTCCCTGTCTCTCCTCCTTCATGGATTTGGAGATTGAGGAGGAGCTGTATCATCTTATATGTGATACTTCTATGGTTTTCCCATCTCCACCGAAATGGTGAACAACAACTCCTGGGTCTTCTGTCCCAGATGACTCCCTCCCATCGTGAGGGGCCTGGCCTGAGAGGGGTGTATTCATATGGATCTCTGCCTGCCCCTCCTATAAAAGAAGCAGGAGGGGCTGAGAGCCCAAAGCCTGACACCCAGCTGGCCCAAAGGGCCCAGAACTGTGGGTCTCAAATCCCGGAGGCTTCAGACCAGAGCTGCCAAAATGAAAGAATCACTCACTTTCAGAATCAATAGGCCAATGTCTCCTGGGATTCAGCCATCCCAGCTGAAGAGCCTCTTAAGTGGGGATGCCAGCAAGCCCCAAACACCAGAATTCTGGAGTAGGGAAGGGGCTAGGCTGCCACCCTGAGTGGCATCCCTCTCGGGGGGAGACTGTCCAGAAAAGGTGGCCCCCCAGCTGCACCCTAAATGCTCCCTGTATGGGGAAACTAACTACCTGAGCCTGTGTGGACCCATTGCCCGGATGCCTCACACCTCAGTCCATGACTGCCCCGGGGGTATCCGGTTCCCACTTGCCCACCTCCTGTGACAGGGAGCTCACTCCTCCCTGGCAACTCCATAGCTCTGCTGGGAGAAAGCACTCCCTACAGTAGCTGGGCTCCCTAGCCCCCAGGGGCCCTCTTCTCCCAGCTGAGTAGCCTGTCTCAACCCCTACTGAGTGGGGCTCCTCTGGACGTCCATCTTGGAGTCCCAACATGGAGCAAGACCTAGATGTCACTCCAATTGGGGCAGGGAATCTCACTGCCTGGTACTCCAGGCACCAGAGAACCAGAGAATAGAGACAGATTCCAGTCCATGGCTCAGAGCCTGCCAGACGGACAGATGGATGAGTGAGTGGCCAGGTCTCCAGCCCAGTTACAGGTCTGGGGGCCAGGATCTACTCCTGAGTCCCCTGGGGTGTCCAGACCACGTGCTGACTTCAAAGCATCCGGGGGCTGCTGGGGCCTGGAGCTCGTGGGGCTCGGCCGCTCTGGGCCAGTGGGTTGCGGCTGATGACCAGCGCCAGGACGTCACCTGCGTCCGCCAGGAGCGGCACGGCCAGGCAGCAGTCAAAGTCCCGCGTGCGAACGTGGTTGACCTGCAGGGAACACAGCCAAGGGGACAGACAGGCATCAGCTGAGCCCGGGCTGAGGTAGGTAGGAGTCGTGAGATGTCCTCAAGTGTGGGCCCGGCCCCAACCCAGATACAGGGTAAATCTAGAACACACACAAAGAGAAGTCCTCCTTCATCGAGCTCTCTTTCAATCCTTCTGGTCAGGTTTTATCAAAGAGAAACCCCGAAGGAGGTGCCAGGACATTCTTCCTGCTCCTCTAACACCTACTTCTCTCCCTTTTTCATGAAAGAGCAGACCACACACTCAGCTTCCTGCCTAGAATTGGTGACATTGCTTTGTTTCTGTTTTTTTATTTCACACTGACCTTCTATGTCAAGCAAGGGGTGCTGGGCTTTCATTCCTAAATGACATGAAAAGCTTCCTTTCAAAATAAATTTAAGTCAGAAATACTCCACCAATTTAAAGGAAACATATTCAGTAAACGTAGCGCTAACATAGCAGAAATCACACCAAGGGAAAAGTAGCTGGGGCGAGGGAAAAGCGGCAGAGGATGGCTGGGCCAGGGCTGTCCCAGGGCTTTCCCTGGGCTCACCCGCATTTCCCAGGCTCCCTTGCAGTTAGCGAGGTCATGTGACTAGTTCTGGCCAATAGGCCATGAAGGGCAGTGGCAGGTACTGCTTCTGGGTGGAGGCAGGAAAAAACCCGCGTGTGGTTTTCCAGCCTCAGTTCCTAGGTCACGTGGTCGAAGGCATTTGCTAAAGGGTAGAGCCCCCATCAGCCTGGCGGAGCAAGCCTATGCCGCCCCCCAGCGGACAAAAGGCTCGTGTGTTAAGCCACTAAGATTCGGGGTTGTTACTGCAACATAACTAAGCCTAACCGGCCTATAGGACTGGTGTAGTCATTCCCTTTGCACATGAGGAAGCCGGGGCTCAGAGAGAGAAGGTGACCTGCCTAAGGCCACTCAGCCAGGGTAGAAGTGGGGCTCCTTCCCCACAAGGCAAGGAAAGGCCACACTATCCATGGTGCCCCCAGCCCAGCATTACCTGAAGGACCCTGTCGAAGGGCCGGAGGCCCCCACGTTGGGCTGGCCCATCAGGGCGCACAGTGTGGACATAGACACCCTTCTCCAGGAGGCCGTCAGAGACGCTAAAACCAAAGTCATTCCGCAAGGGGTCCTTGTGCAGGGTCACCTGGGAGCAGAAGGAGGAGGAAGTCCCTGGAGCTCTGACCTTTGTCCCCAGCTCCCCACAGCAGCCCAAATCCCTTGGTGTGGGACCCACGCGCAGCCCACTGCCCAGCTGCGCTCCCTGCCACTACCACATAGTGCCCCCTCGCGTTCTCCATGGCAGCACAACCTCCGGTTCCCGGCACCAGTCACAGTGGGGAAGCCGGGGAAGGGGTTCCTTCTTCCTTCTTCTTCAGTCCTCTCCCTTCCCCCCCAGGAGAAAGTCTCAGTGGGGTATCGATGGGTTTTCACCCCTCTAACACTTGATCATCTCTCAATTTACCAAGAGGCTCTGAGCCTTCTGAGGGCCACTGGCTGAGAGGTTTCTTCTCCTGTTTGTTTTTCTATATAGTAACCTACAGATGGCAAGGGAGGCTGGCTTCTCCTTTAAGGAACTGGTAACTGATATATATGATACACACACACACACACAAATACATAGACACGTATCATATATAAACGTGTTCCTATTTTATATACACACACACTATCTTAAGTGGGGAAAAAGTCTACTTAAAGAAAAACATTCATAGCAGCCCAGTGTGTATCACAAGGGTGCGTAACACCCAAATGGTGAGAATTTGACAAGTTCCACCTAGTACAAAATTGTGTTTGGTGGAGGAAAATGAAGCCCAGAGAGGGGTGGGCCCATCTGGAGCCCCTGGTGGGTCCTCACGACACCAGGCCACGCATCCAGGCTTCCCATGCCCAGCCCCAGCGCCCACCTTGTGCATCTCTAAGGATGTCGGCAGCAGCAGCTCCTGCATCTCTTCAGGGGACGCTCGTACCTCCTGGCTCCTCCGCCAGGGCCGGTGGCCGGGCCTGCCCTCGAGGGCCACGCTCTGCACCGTGCCCGTCATGATGGATGCCTGCGGACACACAGCCCTTCACTCGGATGCTTGTTTGCTCGCTGTTTGCAGTCAGCATCTGTGGACACCTACTATGTAACAGCCTTCAAGGTCACAATGGTGCACAGCATAGACAGGGTCCCTGCTCTCCAGGGGCTCTCAGTCTGATCGTGGGCAGGGGGGGGTCCTCGATCACACCCACGATCAGAATGCTAATTGTTGGCACTGAACGATTAACACTTACTCTGTGCTGAGCTCAGTTCTACTCACTATACACACACAACTCATTTTGTTCTCTACGATACTATGAGAAACACAGGCAAATGCCATTTTGGGGGTCCATTTTACAGGTGAGGAAACCCAGGCTAAGAGAAATTATGATTTGAACTCAGACTCTGGTTTCAAAGTCAAGGGTCTTAACACTCTGCTATCTTGGCTGATCATAAAAATAAATATGATAAAATCACACACAAAACCTAAAAGAGTTTACTACCCCAAGATTGTCACTAAAAGATCTTAAAGATGAACTCAGAAGCAAAAAGTAGAATGCAGAAAGCAACAGTGAGCAAAGAAATTAATTGCCTACAACCCTAATGAGTACTGACTAAAATCCCACATTAACTAACTTCGAGCAATTTGTAAACAAGCAGGGAGACAAGAGGAGAGAGTTTAGAGGGAAATGGAAGCATTCTACAGGCCCTGTCTCATTCAGAAGGGGGGCCAAAGGCATTGATTCGACTTTGCTAGAAAAAGCAAAGCAAAGATAGTGAAAATTCAAGGCCACGTCAGTTGCGCCTGGTCTTTTCAAAAAGTTAGCGACATGGTCTATCCATAGAATGGAATATTATTCAGCCATAGAAAGCATGAAGTACTGATATGTTCTACAACATCAAGCTAAATGAAAAAAGTCAGACACCAAAGGCCACATACTGCATGACCCCATTTATAAGAAATATCTAGAACAGGCAAATCCATAGAGACAGAAAGCAGATAGCAGTTGGGAGATGTGGGGTTTCTTTTTGGGATGTTAGAAATGTTCTGGTCGTGTATACGCAACATCGCAAAAACACTAAAAGCCCCTGAATTATTCGTGATTATCCTTAATTAATTCTTTTTACTTTTATTTTTTTTTAAAGATTTTATTTATTTATTTGACAGAGAGAGAGAGAGCACAAGCAGGGGGAGCAGCAGGCAGAGGGAGAGGGAGAAGCAGGCTTCCGGCCGAGCAGGGAGCCCGACGCGGGGCTCAATCCCAGGACCCCGGGATCATGACCTGAGCCGAAGGCAGACGCTTAATGACTGAGCCACCCAGGCGCCCCTACTTCTTTTTACTTTTAATATTCAATTTACTTTAACATGGTAAATTTTATGTTATATGTGAGTTTTATCTTGGTAAACAAAAGTTTTAACTTAGCATCATTAAAAAGGCACTGGACTAAAATTAAGAGAGACTGAAAAAGCATAACAACGAGGTGCCAGGCTTTGGTTGGGCATTAGCTTAGCCGGACCAGGTATAAAGGGAAATTTGAGGTCAACTGTGAAAACCTGCATATGACCTTGGTATTAGAAGAAATGAAAATGTATCAGAAGGTTATTTCTATATGTGGGGAAAAATGGGGTAGCTGACAGAAAAAATGTATGAAAGAGCATATACATCATGGTTTCACTATCCTAAAAATACATATACACTCACTTAAGCAGTAACAGTCATGATCTATGTGTAGTGGGAATGTTGTGTTCTTATGTTTTATTTTGCTTATTTTAGTTTTGATTTTATTTTGTTTATCTAATCTTGCACCATCCACATATATGGCTCCTGTAATAATAAAATATTTGAAATTTAAAAACTGAATATTAAATGAATTAAGGATAATCACTAAAAGAATAAAATTATAAAATGTCCATTTTGGTGGTGCAGAGAGTAAACAGGAATAAAAGATTTATCAATACAAGAATAGCAAAGCTAGATCAGAAGTATAGAGTAAGTAGGATACATAGAAAGTATAAATTATATGCTAGAATTAAGTTTCATTGTATTAGTAATCACAATAAATATAAATGAACTAGTCTTAAAAAGGAGACTCTTGGATTGGGGGAAAAATAAGCTACATACAGCATATAACAGATACATTTAAAATGATAAACGTACACACTTAGTAACACAGTAAGCTTGAAAATAAATAAATTGGAAAAAAGACAGGAAACATTGCTAAAATAAAGCTGGTGGAACCATATTATTATGAGGGAAAATGGAATTTAAAGTGGAAAGCACATAGGGATAGAGATACTGATAAATAATAAAAAGAAAAATTCACCAAGAAGAATTTATATGAAACTAACAATATAACCTCAAAGGATAGAAAACAAAAATTGACAATGTCAAGAACTTGCCAAATCTCCTCTCATGACGGGAATTTTATCATACCGCTAAAAAAAAATATATAAAAATAAAGCATATAGGGCGCCTGGGTGGCTCAGTTGGTTAAGCGACTGCCTTTGGCTCAGGTCATAATCCTGGAGTCCCGGGATCGAGTCCCGCATCAGGCTCCCTGCTCAGCAGGGAGTCTGCTTCTCCCTCTGACCCTCTTCCCTCTCGTGCTCTCTATCTCTCATTCTCTCTCTCTCAAATAAATAAAATCTTAAAAAAAAATAAAATAAAATAAAGCATATAACATTTCATAAAGATGCAGATTTGAACAAGTTTATGAACAATTTTGACCTGCAGAGAACCTGACACCCAACAAAAGGAAATTTGCATTGTTTTGCAGGCATACATGAAGTGTTTACTAAAACTGATCACATACTAGGCCACAAAGAAAGTCGTAGCAAACTCCAAAGAATTCATAGCAAAGTGAACATATTTTCTGGCCACAGTACATATGAATTAAAAGCAAGTATGAATTGGTTTTAAAATGTGGGTTTAAAAAAAAAACTCTCCACTTCTGTGTAATTCAAGGGCTTAACTAAAATCGTAATAGAAATTTTTGAAATATTTGGAATTGAATGATCAACAAAAGCATCACAAATCAAAATTTGTGGAATGCAGCCAAAGCAGTGCTTATGGGTAAAATCATAGGTTAAGATGCACTATGGCAGAAAACAAGGAAGACTGAAAATGAAGGAGCTAAGAAACCATTTGTGTTATTTAAATAACACAAAGTAGAAGCTAAACACAGAAATGAGTAAGATAGAAAACAATGAAAATTAACAAAGCCAAAAATCAGTTCTTTGAGGAGCCTAGTAATTGGCAAGACTGATGGAGAAAAAAAATGGCACCAAACAAAAATTTAGAGGCAAAAGCACAGATAAAGTGGAAGTTTAAATTATTGCTCTCAGAGCATGAAGGAGCTTCTGAAATGACCAGCTCAAGGAGCTGGTGATTCAGTCTTCCTAGACCTTCCTGGGCAGCCTGTTCCACCGTGGGCCATGCTGACCTCACACAAAGCTGTATTCACTTCTCAGCTCCCCTGACCCCTCATCCCCTGTACTGTCTGTCCCTGATGCTCACATCTGCATGCTTCCACGGAGCACGCCCATAACCACGTCCCCAGACTGCGCCTGCACACACACACACACACACACACACAACCAAAACTGCCCCTCAGCATCCAAATGGGCGCTCAGACACACCTGTTCTGAAAACACCCTCAGCATTTGTGCATACATGAGCATGCTCACACACATGCACACACGCATGCCCCCAATACACACATGATGATGCCAGACACGTCCGTATGTGCACACACCCCCACGTGCCATACCACAATGCTCTCAATCACACCTGCATGTGGGTAAAGACACCTTTACACGGAGGGTGCTGAGTGCATGATACACACTACACAAGAGCAGGATCCCATCAACATGCTTGCTTCCCACAGGCATGCACATCGGTGTGGCCATGCACAGGGGCCCCCAGGAAGGTCTGTGGGGTGGGTGGCCCTACCTCCAGTTCCCTCAGCAGCTCTGACTGACCACATGACTCCAGGTCTTCGAGCGCTTCCCCGAACATGCGCCAGAAGCCCTCCTCACGGGCAGGGCCAGGGGCTGGGCTGTAACGTAGGAACCAGAGAGCGTCAACTCCTGGCAGGCGGGTGGGCGGGCAGGCGGGCTGGGGCCTGAGGAGTCTTCGGGGCCCCGGGGCCCAGCGTTGGGCTCGAGGGGCCATAGGGTGGGCGGGCAGGCGGGCGGGCAGGCAGGCGGGCGTCCTCGGTGGCAGTGCTGGGGCCCCGGGGCAGTGGTTGGTGACACAGAATGGGGGGAAGACGCAGTTAGGGGCGACCAGGACTGTCGGTGGTCAGTTAGAACAGGGGCAGATGAGACGGGGTGGAGAGCGGTGACACAGGACGCCTGGGAAGAGAGACAGACGGACGGACAGACAGACAGAGAGGAGATCCATGGTGTAACCCCAGAGGACGGCCCCTGGCCCCACCCAGACACATGGCATCATAGCACAGTGACAGGGACAGAGCTGGAGCCAGCGAGGACACAGATGGATGGAGAGGAGAGTGTATCTGCGCTTGGGGAAGGGTCCGGGCCACCCCACAGCTTCCGTCACAGGCTGTACGGGCCCGTCATCAGCTCTAAAATCGAGGCTCGTTAGAATGGTAACAAGTCACACTTGCACACTTCATAGTTCACAAAGCCACTTGCCACCTACAAAGTCCTGGCTGCTTAGAAAGGATGGTTTGCAAAGCACTTTCTTACAAAGGCCCAGGAGTTTTTCTCTCCTAGGGAGACTCAGGGAGGATGATGGGCAATAGTTGCCTCCTGTCCTTCCCATTTTATAGATGAGAAGACTAAGGCTGAGGATAGTCTCTCCATTCAAACCAATTCTACAAACATTCCCTGGGCCAGGTCTCCACAGGGCCTGGGGCTACGGCAGTGAGTAAGGTGTAGCCCCTGTTCTCAAGGAGCTGGTGATTCAGTCACAAAGTGTGCAGCAGTCCCCACTGGGTGCCAGGCACTCAGCGAGAGGCGCTATGCAGAAGGGACCACAGCCAGGTCATGAACCAGGTGGGCACAAGGCAGCCAGTGCCACGAGGAGGCTCACAGTGGCGGCGTGGGGACCAGCAGAGGGAGGGATGCCTTCTGCCTGAGAAAGTCAGGGAGCCTCCCGGAGGAGGCGGGAGAATGTGAGCTGGGTTTTCACGGCTGCACAGGCCTTGGCCAGGAGAGAGAGGGAAAGGCACTGGAGACAGAAGGAAGTGCCTGATCCAAAGCAGAGACACAGGATGGGTGGCTAGGGCTGGGTGAGGAACAGCATTTCTCCACAGGGCCTGCTCTCTACGAGAGCCTCCTCCAGGGGTGATGCGGTGTCCTGCAAAGCCAATGCTACCAAACCCACCACCTCCATGGCCAGGGCAGGTGCCTGGGACCCGAGGGCCCTTGCAGGAGGCCATCAAGCAATCTGGGTTAAGTCAGGAGGGTCAGGTTCAAGTTCTGAGCTGTTCTGAGAATGGGAGATTACCAGACTCTCTGGAAAGGCAAACACCTTCCACGCCTTTGCCACTGCTGTGCCCTCTGCCCACCACACCCTCGTCCCCATCTCAGCCTGGCTGAGGCAGCTCTGCCCGATGCTTCTTCCCCTCTCCCGGGAGGCACCCCTCCTCGGGAGCCGGACAAGACCCCTCCGCTGCCCCCACCGCTATGGAGACCAGGAGACCATGACTGCCTCCTCCCTCGTGGCATTCCCACCACAGACCTAGTTGGTGGCTCCCAATCCTCCTCTTCCTCCTCCTCGGGGAAGCTCTCGTCCGTGGGGGCTGGGGTATAGCTCGTCCTCCGGGGCTCGGTGGGTGGGGGGCTGCTTCTCAGCCGGCTGGGCCGCCACTCCTGGGGGGTCATGCCCCGAGCCACTGTCTGCGGAGTGTAGGAGCCTGCCAGGTGGAGAGGTGGGTGTCTGTATCCACTTCAGCTTGCCCTCCTTCCCATCCCTTTTCCAGCTGTGCTAGATGACCCTGGATAGGTCTTGGCCCCCTCTGGCCTTGCATGACTACCCAGAGTCCCCTGAGGGCCCTGCCACCTAGTCCCTACCCCCAGAACCCTCCAGAACTCCTGATCACCCAGCAGAGGGGTTCATGGCCAGGGCTCCAAGACCCTGTCCCGGCTCCATGGGCTTAGCCTGGCTGCCTCCTACCTGGGGACAAGGCTCACTATTGTAACCATTCCTCTCTGCCTGCCTTTGAGAGCTCTCAAGACCCTGCCCCAGGGGTAAGCTAAGAGATGCTTATCAAGTACAAGAGATGGGGAAGCGGAGACCAGGGAAGGTAGACAGATATACAGCCAGAGAGGACCAGGGCCAGGAGCCTCCCGAGGCCACTTAGAGGCCTCGCTCTACTAGTTCTCTGAGCCGGGCCTCCCAGAGGCCAGAAGGCCAGCTGCTAGATTCAAATGCCCCCCAAACCCCGAGGCCACCCATGAGTCTCAACATGCCCGGGCAGGGGAGCTTGCGTCCTCAGAGGGCAGCCTGTGTCCACCTTAAGACGTGTCCACCTTAAGGCGGGGTCTTGTGGGATGGGGTGGGAAGGGGCTTTCTGCCTTCCCATCTTCAACTGGATGCAATAAACACTGCTTGGGCGCCTGCTGTGTACAGGGCACTGGGCTAGGAATGAGAAAGACAAAAGTGAGGCCAGCTTCGTCCCTAACCTCAAGGTGGGGAACTCCATGGTGCTATGGATGCTAATCAAAAGATGTGTGAAGATCCATGCTCTGAGCAGTGAGGGGCCCTGAGAATGGCTAATGGGGCCCAGGCGGGTCTGCCTCCAGGAAGTGTCCCTAAAGGATGGAGCCGGGAGAGGAGGGGGCAGGGAACAGCTGCTGCAAAGGCCTGGCAGCTGGGGCAGCCCAGAGACAGCATGTCACTTGGCCTGGGGCCCCGAGGCGTTAACCTGGGCCCCCGAATCCACCCTCTGTGGCCGAACTGTCCCAGGACTCCACAGCACTGTCCACACTGGGCACAGCGGGTGAGAACCGGGCTGCCAACAGGCCTCCTTTGAGCGCTTCTGGTGGGTCCTCATCTGCATCGCTGGCCTCACTGAGGCTGCCCGACTTGCGGCACGGGAGGGGGCCTGGGAGAGAAAAGGGGTGTCACCACCACTGGCCTCTGACCTCAGAGACACAGAGACACTCAGTGAGCCTCAGTTTCCCCACTTCAGTCTGGTTTGGGAACTCACAGGCACTGAGCCCCCCTCCACACTCCCCGAGCCTGCTACTCAGCAATCTGATAGGAGGGGCGGGGCACACTAATGGGCAAACCCATTTCACAGACAGGAAAACTGAGGCTGAGTTCTCTGAGCTGGGCCCTGGGGAGTCAGTCCCTGAGGTTCTGGGTCTGCACAACATGCCCAAGGTCACATGGTGAACAACAGTGGAGACCAGATTAGAAGGAAGACCCAAAAGCTCAAGTTCCTTCCCCTGCAGGTGGTGGCCTCCCTGCCAAGGTACAGGGTGCAAATTCAGGGGAACTGAGGAACGTACAAACTTCGGCCCTAAGGCAGAACAAGCAGCCTTGAGAGGCAGGAGGCGATGGAGAGGGTGGCTCAGACCCAGACCCTGCCCTACACAAGCTGCGACCTTAGGACCACCACTCCCCTCTCTGGGTCTGGCCTCCTCAGCTGCCCCAGGGGTCTTCCCACCTCCATAGGATTTGGTGAGGATGCCATGAGTTGGGCACATGAACCTGGCACAGAGGCACAGAGGGATTTCCCTTCCTAAATGGGTGGATGGCCCCGGGGGGAGCAGGGGAGGCTCACGGTCTAGCTGCTTCTTGATCTTCAGTGTGACAGTCTCGCCAGCCACCTGTAGGAGGTGGATGGCCTCACTCAGAGGCCGGCCCTTGAGGCTAACGCTGTTGATGGCCAGGATACGATCCCCAACGTGGATAGCGCCGGTCCTGGGGGGGCGGGGGGCATAGGGCAGAGATGAGAGACATTCAAGGCTTCAGGGAGGGGGTCTGCCCTCAGGGACCCCAAGGCACAAGCCTGATTGACCTCAGTTAAACCCAGCTGTAGCAAAAAGCAAGTGTCATCTAGGGTGGCATTAACAAAGGTACAAAGTCTAGAATTTGGGGGATGCCTGGTGGCTAAATCGGCTAAGCGTCCGACTCTTGATTTCGGCTCAGCTCATGATCTCAGGGTCGTGAGACTGAGCCCTGCATCGGGCTCCGTGCTGGGCGTGGAGCCTGCTTAAGATTCTCCCTCTCCCTCTGCCTCTGCCCCTCCTCCCACTCTCTTCCTCTCTAAAAAACAAAAAATTAAAAAAAAAAAAATTAAGTCTAGAATTTGGGGGGGGAGGGGATTATTCTGCCTGACTCTGAAGTTAGGTTCTGGAATCGGTGTCAAGCATGATCTGGGGGCCCGTTTCTCAACTTCCCTGAGTCTCAGTTCCTTCATGTGTAAAATGGGAGTGATAAACTTACTTTATCTAATTGTAATTAAAAGATGGCTGGGTGGAAGGGATACGTGTTTCCCTCCAGCAGAAATCCACGGGAAGCCTTCCTTTCCCTGGGCCTGTTTTCTCACCCAGAGAATGAGCACAGGGTGCCCAGCTGACCTCACGAGGGGCTGACAGGGCCAGGCAGTAGCCTTGCTCTGGCCCAGTGGGGTCTCTACCTGGACACCATTAGAATTACCTGAGGAGCGTTTTTAAAAATGTGTGCTGCCTGGCCCTGACCCCTGGCCAATGAAATGGTATCCCTGGGAACTGGGCTGGGGAAGGTGATCGTGAGGGACAGCCAGCCCTGAGAGCAGGGAGAGAAGCTGTCGTGGATGCTGGGAAAGCACCTGACCTGGGTGGGGGAGGCGGAGGCAATGCACCCCCATGCCTGGCCTTGCCCACCCAGCTCCCCAGGGGCCCCGGGGCGTAAGTCAGGGGGTTGGTGGGCTGAGTGCGGGACGTCAGAGCTGTCTGCCCAGCGTAGCAGACACCAGCCCCATGTGGCTACTGGGTCCCCGAAACGTGGCTGGCCCAAACTGAGATGGCTTGACTATGGAAAATACACAACGGGCTCTGAAGACACAGTATGACAAAAAAGAATGTAAAACATCTCGTTATAATTTGTATATTGACTACACATGTTGACATAAATACGTATTTAAGATTCATGTTATTTTTTTCCTTTTATTTTTCTAACATGGCCACCAGAAGTTTATACTGAAACGTGGGGCTCGCATCACATTGCAGTTGGCCAGCACTGAGACAGATCAGCCTGGTGAGGGCAAGGGCACTGTCTGTTGCGTTCTCAGCTCCCAGAACGGGCTGGCACCTGGCAGGTACCCAGTCAAGGTGGGAGTAGATGAACACGCTTGAGATAGGAACCGTCCACAATGGCCTTTGCAGTGGGCCAGCAGGGGGCGCTCCAGGAACAGGGAGCCCTCCACCCAACCTCAGTCCCCCCCTCCTCCATCCTATTGTGGCAGCCCACCACCATGTGGGCCCTCTTGCTTTCATCCTCCTCCGGGGGCCCAGGCCTGGCCTCCCTGTGACCCCTGTGGGGCCCTGTTCCACCTCTGAGCCCCAGATTCACCTGCTTCCCCCAGTCTGGACAGCCTGCGACACCCTCTTTCTCACAGCTTTCCCAGAGAGGGCCGCAGGGCGGCCCCTAATGCCTCCAGAAAAGCCCCAGGCTGTGCCAGGACTGAAGGCACACAGTGCTCCAAAATGGCTCACAGTGCTGACTTTCCAGGTGCAGAATCTCCAGGTTGGGAGGGAGGTCTGCCAGGGGGGCTGGTCTGCCTCTGTGGAACTGAGGCTCAGCGAGGGAAGGGACAGGCCTGATGTCACCCAGGACATCGACGTTGGAACCGAGGTCAGAATCCACTTTGGCTGTTCCTAAAGCCCAATCCCTGCCCCATGAGGGTTCCCGGGCCTGCCCTGTGTGTCCCCACAGAACCCCAGCTCACCTCTCAGCAAGACCACGCTTGGTGAGGCCTGAGATGACAATGGGGTCAAAAGGCTCCTCTGTGCCCGAGATGGTGATGCCCAGGGGACCCCCGTAACGTTTCAGTTCCACTGTGTAGCTGATCGCCCCTGTGGTCTCCTGCTCATCTGCAAAGGTGGCAGCCATCAGGTGGGGCGCAGTGGGGCAGGACCCAGGGGGGCTGGACGCCCCCAGGCCCCAGGGTCCTGGTGTACTTATCCCTCAAACTCATCCATCCACTCGTTCGTTAATCCACCTATCTGCTCGTGCCATGACTTCAGATGGCACTGCCCGGGGACCCTGAGGCCACCTTCTGCCTCCACAAATGTTTTCTTGCACCCAAACCCCATGGAAAAAAGAAGAAAGAAAAGAATCGTGAAACCACCATTCTAAACCATAGATTTCACCCAGGACACAATATAACGATCATGAGGAGGATAAGAAGAAACCACACTTCCAGCTTTTCTTTAAAAAAAAGATGAAGAAGAAGAATCTGCCCACAAGAGATCATCCTTCCCAGGGCAGGAGTCGGCGGCTGCCCCTCTGAATAAGGGATTGGCTCTCCAGGGGCCACAAGCCTCACGCCTCCCTTCTGCCTCACCAACCTGCACCATTTTTTCCTACCTTCTGTCCAGGTCACTCACTTCTGTCGCCTGTCTGGCCTCGCATATGTTAGAGTTGGCAGCCTTTACTTCTTCACTCACATCACCCACGCAGGACGTACCCCCTGCGGCATCCATGCCCCACCAACCCCTCTGCTCGCTGCTGCCCCCTGTGGGCCTCCTCTGCCAGGCACTGTGCCGCCCATGGAGGACCCGGGCAGCCCCAGAGACCAGGAGACATCCGAGCGCGGGGCTGCCGCCCTGCACTTGCTCATTCAAGGAGTCTCCGCCAGCAGCCCGCCACCCTCCCTCCTCGGCCAGAGGGAGCCCCGAATTGCAAGCTAGAACCCGCTGATCCCGTGGGGCGGGCGGGCCGAGAGAGGCGGCAGGGCCGGGTGAGGGCCCTACCAGAGTTGTCCTCGTCCTTCCGGATCTTCAGCTTCACCAGGTCCTCGCACCGCCGCAGGATCTGCACGGCATCCTCCATGGGGCAGTCGTCCAGGCGGATGTTGTCGATGGCCAGCAGCTTGTCGCCTGGCTCGAGGGTACCGGTCCTGCAGGAGCAAGGGTGGGGCACACAAAGAGCCTGGCACATGTCACTCTCCGTGGACCGCTCCCCTTACCCTGTGCCCAGGGCCATCCCTACCTGTGTGCCACACTGCCCTTCTTGATGTCAGAGATGATCAGGGGCTCTCCTCGCTTCCTGCTGGTCGCTGGGGGGAAAGAAGCCAGGAATCCAACCTTTGATGGCCTCAGCCTCCAGGAGGGGGACTGGGAGGGCCCAGGAGTTGGGGCATGAATGCTGAGCCACATGCCCTGCTCCCACTGCTTCCTGCCTGGCGACCGTGAGCAAATCAGCCCCGTTTCTGCCTCACTTTCCCCACTGCAAAATGGGGATGGAGCCACAGAACTCATGGAGATGTCACGAGATTAAACTAGACAAGGCAAAACCTAACGTGGATCCCAGCACATAGTAGGTGCTCAATCCACATCAGCCCTTTGCCCTTCTGCTCAGCCCATCCCCCAGCAAACTGTGAGCCCCTTCAGGGGCTGTGTCTGGCTGGCACTCCCACCTAGCACAGGGTGGGCCCCAGAACTAGGTGACCCATCCACAGTTGAGTCTTCCCTTCTCCCAGCTTCAGGGAGTGCTGGCTGAATGGCTCCCAGGGGGCTCCCTCTCTGGGAATTGCCTTTGGCAGAGAGAACGACCTCATCCAAGGTTGTACAGCTCCTGGGTGCGGCCTGGTCCACACAGCGGTGCAAAGGCCTGGCTCCCAGCCTCATTCACGACAACTTCCAAAGCCTTCCCGGCCCTAGAGCTCTCCATGGGACTGGCTGCATCACAACCAGCTTCTCCGTCCACCCAGTCCCACATCCCTCACCTGGCACAGGTGTTGATTCCAAGGGCCCTTCTCAGTAAACTGCCCCGCCCCCGAATGTAACTTTGTCTAAGAAGCTCTTTCTGGGGGAATGTGACCTAAGACAATGGGTGTTACATGAGTAGCTACATTTTCTTGCAAAAAAAGTCCATCTGGGCTAATGGGTTTTCCCATTAGTGACCAGATGGTAGGAGACCTTTCTAGCCCACATGGCATCTTTGCAGATAAGACAAGGGCGCCCCTTCCAATTAGTCCATTAAGGAAATGATGTAATAAAATGGTAAGTCTACCTCAGATGGGCACCCTTGTGTCATGTACAACTTGTGCAACTGTATCTGGCAGCCCTATCTGGAGTTTCCTGGGCTAGGAGCAGCTTCTCCCCTCCCAGATTGCTTAAACTCCCACCTCCGTTGACTGTGGAGTCTGGGGTAGGAAGGGGCTGCACCAGGAGCAACCCCCTCCTCCAGGCTGGAGGTATGGCTCGCTGGGGGCGGGGACTGGACAGCGGGGAGGGACTCACAGCCAATGGTGATGCCCAGCTCCACGCCTCGCCTCTTGGGCAGCTTCACGTGGAAGGTGCCGCTGCTCGGGATGACGGACTCTGCATGCAAACACACGTGGACGCGTGTGAGACCCAAGGGAGTAGATGCAGGGAGTCCCAGCTCCCCACCCATTCTAGGCCAGCTGGGAGAGAATGCGAAGTCACCATCCCAACCCTATCCTGCTTCTTCCACCTGACAGAGGAGGAAACTGAGGCATGGTGAGCTGACATCCGTCTCAGACAATCCTATCAGAGCAGATTTGCGGCTGGCACCCAGACCCCATGACTGCCATCCAGGGGGTTCCCCAGAGCCAAACCCAACCCAGTTCAGATCCAGCAACAATTTACTGAGCATCTACTATATGCCAGGCGTTAGCTGGGTGTTTTCACATGATTGATCTCATCTAACTCAAACGATATCCACTGAGGTAGAAGGACTCTATTCAGTATGTCACGGTTGGGGAAACTGAGGATGGGGGGTTGGGCAGGAAAGTCCTGTCCAAAGTCACAGAATGTCCAAATCACAGGACCGGAGTTCTAACCTGAGTTTGTGTTTGGGGTTCTTTACCTAAGGCCTGCCGAGGGGCATGGAATATTTTCAGCCCCCCTCTGCCCTCCCTTAGGTCCTGTTTTGGCGCAAAAATCCCTCAACAACCCTCGGGCTGGCGTGTGGGATTCCTGCCTCCCCGGCCAGGGCCTTCCCTGCCACCACTAGTGCTCAGGCACACACTGCAAACGCTCTGGCAGAGGGTCACCCGGCGGGGAGTGCGATGGGGCTGGAAGAGCATGTGCCCCAGGCAGGAGCACGATAAAGAGAGGAGGGAGCACAGGGTCCCAAAGCCTGAGGAGGAGGGTAGGGACACTCACTCACCTGCCACGTCAAACTCGACCTCCAACACGACCTTGTGGGCCAGCGCCGCGTCGCGCAGCAGCTGGTTGGCTTCCTCCATCGTCCCGTCCTCAGTGGCAATCCCGTTGATGGACAGGACCCGATCCCCGACCTGCAGCAGCCCACACCTAAACCCCGGGCAGCCCCGCAGAAAGAAGCAGCTCTGTTACCATCACGGCTATTGCTGGGGCACAGGAATGCCACGTGTGGGCAGGCCTGCGAGTCTGACTCACAGCTCGCAGAGCCTCAGGCAATTAACCCCGTGACTCTGGCTAAGGGAGTAAACTCGCTGGGCCTCGGTTTCTCTCTCTGTCCAAGGGAGACGACGCCGTGCCTTACGAGATGTGTGTATAGAGAACCCTGACTTCAGACAGACAGGGGTTCAAGTCCTGGGTCACTCATGAGCTGTGTGACCCTGGGCAAATGAATCAGCATCTCTGCACCTCGGTTTCCTCACCTGTAAAGTGGGGCTGATGATGGAGAAGATAGGATGGTTTAGGTGAGAGACCCTCGTGAAGCCAGCCTTGGCATGTGACTCAGTTTCCCTGGCTGTCCGTGAGCCCCCTGAATTGGAGAGTGGCAGGCCCAGCAGGGCGGGGGCAGTTGGCTCACCTCTCTGCCGGGCTGTCGGGCTCGATGAAGCGCACGAGGGGCGGGGAGGACAGGGTCTCGGTGGCGAAGATGCCTCCCTGGAGCTGGAGGCCAAAGCCGCTGAGCGGGTCTCCGCAGAGCACGATCTCTGTGGTCTCCGTGTGCACGATCTGTCCCCCAGGGCCCACTGTGCTGGAGGCCAGTGACACTGCGGGACAGGCGGGCACGGCTTTCAGGTGGGCAGTCCCAGAGAGCCCTTCCTGCCAGCACCAACCCACGCCCAGGCCCAAGGACCTAGAGTCAGAGAGGCGAGTGGGTGGGAGCACTGCCTCGCCCTGCAGCCGGCAGAGTCATAGTGCATTCTGAGCCGAGCTCTCCCCATCTGGCCCGCGGGTGAGTCCCACCCAGCAGGGCCGTGACAAGGATGAAGGAAGGCAGCTCCTGGGACTGCCACGTTGTAAACTGAGCTTCTGAGGGTTGTGCTGGTACGTGATGTTAGCTTTGTCGGAACGCTCTCGTAATACCACAGTACATAGTATGCTAATCTTGGTGACAACTTTATTGAGATACAATTTACCTATTTTTTTTAAAAGATTTTATTTATTTACTTGAGAGAGAGAGAGAGAATGAGAGATAGCACGAGAGGGAAGAGGGTCAGAGGGAGAAGCAGACTCCCTGCCGAGCAGGGAGCCCGATGCGGGACTCGATCCCGGGACTCCAGGATCATGACCTGAGCCAAAGGCAGTCGCTTAACCAACTGAGCCACCCAGGCGCCCACAATTTACCTATTTTTAAAGTGTACACTTCAGTGGTTTTTTAGTATATTAACAATGTTGTGCAGCCATCAGCACAATCGATTGTAGAACACTTTCATCACCTCAAAAAAGAAACCCGGGTCCCTTTAGCTATTGCCCCAAATCCTCCCATCTCTCCTGGCCCTAAGTAACCACTAACCTATCTGCTTCTGTGTAAATTTGCCTCTTCTGGGCAATTCCACATAAATGGAATCCTATAATCTGTGGCCTTTTGTGTCTGGCTTCTCTCACTAAGCATAATGTTTTCAAGGTTTATCCATATTGTAGCAGGTCTCTGGAATTCGTACCTTTTTATGGCCAAATAATATCCCATTATATGAATACACCACATTTTGTTCACGCATTCATCTCTTAATGGACATCTGGGTTGTTTCCACCTTTTGGCGAAAATGAATAATGCCGCTATGAATATTCATGTGTAAGTTTTTGGGTGAACGTGACATATGTTTTCATTTCTCCTGGGCGTATACCTAGATATGGAATTGCTGGGTCATATGAAAACTTTCTATCTATTTGATATATTATGTTACTTAATGTATATTGTTTTATAGTCCATATATAAAATACATTTGTATTATTAACATGGACACCGGGTATCATTTATTAAATATAATTTATTATCATATTTAATTCTACTAATTATATTATACTATTATATCTTCATTACTATTTTGTTATATTTATATTACACATTACAATACACATGATATATTACGCTGTTGCATATGTTGCATTATTATGTTTATATTTATTATATTTTCACAGTTACATCCTTAAGAATGGTGCCTGGTACATAGGAGGTGTTCAAATTGTTCAATTAAATAATTATCATCAACAATAACAATGATAACATTTTATTAGTCATCCATCCTAGGAAAAGGACAGATAAGTGGTCCCAAGAGCCCCTAGCCTCCACATGCCCCTGCCTATGAACAGCATTTCTGAATCTTTTCACCTACACACTCCCAGCTTTGGTGGTTGACAAAGGTGGTTGGTAAAGGCATATTTTACCTCTCATCTGACTCTGAAATGTTCCCCTTTTCACCTTGGCTTCCAGGAAGCTCATAACCATATTTCAGGTACTGAGTGATTTGTACTCCTCGTTTCCCTCTTTGGGCTCAATTCCGAATGGCCCAGTTTGACCTTTCATCCTTCCTGGAGGCCTCTGCAGCTCACATGGCAGGAGGCTGGATAGACTTTCTACATCAGCAAAGGAGGGACTTTTCCCAGGAGACTTCAAAATTCTTGGCATTCTCGTGACTTTTGCTACCTCCACATTATCATTCACTACTATTTGTCTTTCCATTTCTTCACTTTTTAAAATTCTTAAATACCTTCACTTCAAAAGGGAATTATAGACATAGTGATCATAAATAAAGAGAAATGCCCATAAACAAAAGGGAAGTAGAAATACATGTGTGTGTATATGTGTGTGTATATGAGTGTACGTGTATATACACACATGTACATATACACACTATATATATGATACATATATAATAAAAGGGAAAATTATTATAAACTATTACATCTGGATAGCTAGTCTCAGGCCTACGCGTCTTTGTTTTAGGGGAAATTAAAAATTGTCGGAGAAGTGGTACAGACAGAGCTGCACCTCACTCAGACTTTCTCTCTGAATGGATCAGAGTGAATCACAGAATGAAAGAAAATGAAATGGAGTTACTATGAAACCTTTATGCACATCTGAAAAGGTATCCTTTCCTGGAGACACTGTGTCATCACCTGCTGGGAATTTTCCATAATCAAAATATAAGACTAAAATGTACACAGTGACTGACACCCCTCAGGTGCGTCCTTGTGCAGCGCACAACCTGCCCAACCATCCATGGAAGCCTGGTGGGCCACTCATGCTATTTAATGACCCTACACACACCTAGGACCCTGTCCCAAATACCCCCATCCTTTGGCAAATCTCTCAGCCATACAGGCAGCCCAAAGAGGAGGGAAGAGACCATGGCTTACTTACATGTGCTCTTGTGTTCCCTTCTTCGCTGCCTCCTCCGCCCCATTGTAGTCCGGGGGCTCATGGGGTGGGATCCACGGGGAAGGGTGCTGGGATTGGTGCAGGGAAAGGCATGATTCATGGTCGGCGAGGAAAAGGGAGTCGAGGACAAGGCTAGGGAGATGAGAGCACAGCCCCGTGAACCCCAGAAGGGTCCTCCGCCCTGCCACACAGTGGGTGCCAGGCAACCACCCCACGGAAGAGAGACTGGGACGCCTTCCCCCTTTCACCTCAAACACTGGCTGTGTGACCTCAGACAGGTCTCCCCCGCTCTGGGCCTCAAAGACCACAGGGTTTTCACAGACATGGTGAAAGCCAGCTGCCAGGGATAGGGGCCCATCTCATCACTAATGTGCTAGGTAACGCTGGGCAGACCTCCTAATTTCTCAGGGTCTTGGTTTCCTCCCCTGTGAAACATGCACAAGCCACAGTGAGGTGGACACATTACATCGGCTCTGGTCCTGGCCAGCAGGTGTGGCCCAGGTGGGTGGCCTGCAGTGGCCAGGCCGGGGGCTGTGACAGGAGAGCACGCAGGGGTCCCAGCGGTGTGGTTGATCACTCCTCTGCACCTTCACTGTGGCCCAAGGAAGAGGAGAGAGAAGTGCAGGCGTTAGAGACTGAGCGAGTCAGCTCTGCACGGCCCCCTGGAGCTACGCTCCCATCTGCGAGAAGAAGTGAGGAAAGCAGGACCAGACAGCCTGAGTTTCCCCCAAGCCAAGCCAAGCCAGGCATTCAGATGCTGCTTGTGTGTCCCTGCCCACTATGTGCCAGGCACCGTGCTCAGTGCTCAGCCAAGCAGCAGCAGGGACGGGAGGGAAAGTAGCCCCGGCCTGAGACCCAGTGCATCAGCGTTGAGCAGTGCAGTTGGCAGAGGGCATCGGGCTCCTGCACCTTCAGGATCTGCAGCAGTGCTGTGGCCTGGGAAACCTTGGCCACAGGGGCCAGGGGCCAAGCACCGGGGGCACTAGGGCTTGACCATTTCTGCACACACACGCCTGGCGGGGCTCTCGGGGGCAACCTATGCTCCAGGGCCCCTGTGGGGTTGGCCGAAGTTTGCTCAGACCTGCGCTGCAGACAGGCTGCTCTGGCTTCCTCCCCTCCAAGCTTTCACACGGTTTCCGCCCAGATGAATTCTCTGAGCTCCTTCTCCATCATCCCCTTCCCACGGGACCCCAGAGATCCTGCCTCCCCCACCTGCCCCACCTGATCCTCCCAACCACCTGCCATGCAACACCTTCTCCCAGACTCCCCAGGTCTTGTCTTAGCTCTTCCTTCAGCATCTGGGCTTTTGAGGGGTCCAGGCTGGTGCAGCGTATCCACGGATGGATGAGGGGCTTGGCCAGCCTGGGAGCCAGCTGCCTGGTCCCTGAAATAGGTCCCCTTGGGCCCTCTGTGCCTCACTGTCATGATCTGTATAACGGGACTAAGACAGTGGCTGCCTCCTTGGATAATGGGAAGGATCTGAGTGAGTTAAGACGTAGGGTGTGCTTCGCCGAGCAGTGCCTGGCACCTAGCTGAGGCCCACCTAATGAGGGCCAGGAAGACTGTCGCAGACCTGTGCCCTCAGAAGGCACTGTGCTTCTCTGAGCCTCAGTCGCCTCTGTCAAGTGGGATAACAGCAAAACCGCCCTCACAGACTTGTCACGAGGATGAAAAGAGATGACCCACGGGAAGCCCCAGCACTGAGCCCAGCCCACAGCAGGTGGGTTGTAAATGGTGTGGGAACGAGTCGCTCTAGTTCAAGCCCCAAAGCCTCCTGTGGCAGGCCCTGGCTGTGGCTTGATGGGGCCTCTGCAGACCCCTGAGATGCGAGTGCAGACTCGCAGAGATGCGAGTGCACAGAGCCACAGAGACGGACCACCCCCAAGGCCTGTCTCCCCACATTTTATTTGGGGGATATCTTTCTCTCCCAGATGATCAATTAGGCTTGCAAAGGATGGGGTGGGCTGACTCCATGCTTGCCCACACACTGTGTCCTGAGGGCTGGAATTCACAGCCTGACCACCCAGACCACAGTCCTGGGCTGTGCTCTGTCCTCTACCTCATTTGACCCCTCCCAAGCCTGCGCTCCCACCTACAGATGAGGCAACTGAAGCTCAGAGGTGTAAAGCACCTGTTCAGCTGGAGCAGGGCTGGCATTTGTACCCAAAGCCCAAGGTTTGAAATGTTGGATGCACTTCTAGGCTCTGAGTGGGCAGCTGCCTCCTTGTGAGCACCCTGCCCCGGGTTCGGCTCTGCCCTCTGGTCTCTTAGATCACCGGCTTCCTCTGCTCTTGGACTGCCTAGCACCCAGCTCCCTGCTCCAATCTGGGAGACCTCAACTCCTCAAAAGGTAGGGGGGGCCTTAGGCCCTCCTGATTCCCTGGCTGCCTCCTCTGGACCTGCTGAGGACCCTGGAGCTGAGTCCCAGATCTAAGCTCTGAGCACAGAAGGACTGTCCTCTCCCTCGAGCTAGCCCTTATACTTCTATTAACTTAGCAAAGAGTGATGGCGCTAGGTTTGGGGCATCCACACCAGCGGACTGTCAACTCAACATTCAGGCTGTTCCTCTGCCCCACCTCCCCGCCCTCAGCTGCTGCACTTGACAATCTGAGCTTCCCAACAGGAATGGACATTTGTTCTAGTACATTTTAGCCTGCCCAGGACTTCGGTCCCAGGCCTCTGGGACCTCGTGCACCCCTCCCCATCAGCTGTCAGGTTTGGGTCCTGAGACCCTCCAAGGGGACCCACCTGCCTCTGAGGGCTTCAGGGGCCGCCGACTTTGGGGTGTAGGCAGGATCTCCAGCCGTACTCTCTCCGCCACACTGGCCAGGAGCTTGGTGGCCTCAAGCAGCGAGCAGTGTTCCGTGCTGGTGCCGTCGATGGACAGGATGTGGTCTCCAGCATGCAGGGCCCCACTCCTGGCCAGGCGGGAGAGTGAAGGGGGAGGCTGGTCCGGCCAGAGGGAGCTCTGAGCCGCCTCTCCCCCTGTATCCCTGCCCACTATGGTGGCGGCACTCAGTGTGTGCCTCACCTGTCCACCACGCTGGCCGGCTTGATGCGGTCAATGGTGATGACTGGCTTGTTCCGCTGGGAGCCAGTGGTGAGAGAGATCCCCAGGGCTGACCCAGGCGTCTTGGTTATCTCCACTGTCAAGGGCCCCGAAGCATTGGCCACCGTATCTGGCACAAGGAAGGAAAGAAGGGTTTGAAATGCAAATACTGAGCACTTGCCTCCCCAGCCTCACTCTGCTATCTCGGTATTATCCTCCCTGCTGGGGAGGGACTGTTGCACCCATTTTACAGATCAGAAAGCTGAGGCATGTGGAGGCAAAAGCCTTGTCCAAGTTCACCCAAGTCCTCAGCAGCAGAGGCAGGACAGGGATTCGGCTCTGAGGGACTCTGACCCCAGGGCTCTGCCGGACGACACTAACATGCTCACAGTTATGGAGAGCCTGCAGTTCGCCGGCCCCGAGCTGCATGTTCACTACCACCTTTCCGCACTCAGAAACCACACCCCCAGGAACCCACCTGGTGGCTTGAAAGCAAAACCTAGCTCCTTCTGCTCTTGCCCGCCCCCACCCCCCAACCCCTGCCACCAGGTCCACATGTCAGCAAATCAGACCCCATTGACTTTCATCATTTCCTGAATGCGACCCTTCTGTGCTTCCTCGGCAACCAGCCTGGTGGGGCCCCCATCACCTCTCTCTCCCCCAGCCTTTCCCTTCCCTCCCTGATTTTTTTTTTTTCCCAACAGCACTTATTGCCATCTGACAGCCTCGGTAATTGATTTATTCTGTTTACTGTCCCTCTCTCCCCACCAGACGGTGAGCTCCATTAGAACTGAGATCTCGTCTGTATTGTTCTCACCTGGATCCCTGGGGCCTCCAACAGTCAACTGGCACATAGCGTTTATTGCCCAGAGAGTCTCAGAGAGGCTAGGTGACTGGCCCCAGGTCACACCGCCTTTGCGGTGGTGAGGATCTGTGCCCACTACCCCCTCCCTCAAGCCCTGGGTCTCGTCCTGCCCCAACCCAAGTTCTCGGGCCCCCGACTCACCCGGGATGGCCACATCGTATTCCACCTGGAAGAGCGCCTCGTGGCTGCACTGCCGCAGCGTGGCCAGGGCAGTGGCATGGCTGGCCCCATGCAGCGGGATCCCGTCAACGCTGAGCAGCCTGTCCCCCACCTTCAAGGAGCCCTCCCTGCAGGGAAGGGCTCGGTCAGCCAGCCCGGCCCCGTGCAAGCACCAGCCACAGCCCTGGCGAGAGGCCGAGAGGCCGCTGGGAAAGGTGGGGTGGCAGGGGACGGAGAGGAGCAGGCAGTGAGTGAAGGAGGAAGGTGCAGCACAGTGAGGGAGCGCATGGGGAGGCTCTGGGGGAGCAGCTAAGTCAATGAAGCAGGGATGCAAAGAGGGCTGGGACCAGCTCTGACATCTTCCACCCCGCTCGGTGCTTAATACAGTCAGAGCCCTGGCTCAACCCAAGAATGTCTGCGTGGGGATGCCCTGGGGACACTGGGGACTGCCAGGGCCCAGAAAGGACAGCAGCCCTGCCAGGGCCACACAGCGTCAGGGGTGGGGCGGCCTGGAGGCTTCGCGCTGCCCATCTTGAGGTCCCTTCTCACTGCCCCCACTCAGGTTTCTCAGCAGCGAGTCTGGCCTGGTGACAGATGCGCCTGGGAACGAATTTGGCAGGGGCCCCCGGGAGAAGGGCCGAGCAGGGGTTCACCTCGGTTTGGGTCAAATCCCCACCCTGCAATGCTTGCTCCAACAGGTGGCCAAAGCTATTCTGGGAGGTTCTATGAATAGCTCATCACAGGGCCTCGTCCCAAGAACCGGTTTAGACTTCTGACAAGGCTGTTCCAGGCTTCTCTTAAAATGGCCAAGAATCTCCCAGTGGGGAGATCAACGGGTCGGGTGCTGGGAACTGGACATGTTCCTCTCCCACATTCTCTCCTTCTGGCCCAGCCCACTCAGCCCAGGCAGCACCAGGCTGGCACAGCCAGGACTCAGAGGCTGCAAGACAGAGGCCACGGTGGTGCTGCTCACAGTGCCCCAAATCTCTCACGGTAACTCCTAGGAGCTGCAGTATCAGACCCATTCCACAGATGGGGGAAAAACAACATAACGCCAAGGCTTGCTTCCCTCCCCACCCCTGAGACAGTAGGATGTCAGGGAGGAAAGAGCTTGGGGTCTCTCTCATTTGGGATGGAGTCCTGGTTCCACCAACAATTCTGAGTGACTCTGGGGCAACAGGCGTCCTCTCTTTGGGCCTCAGTTTGCTCATCAGGAGAATGGGCACAATGGTTTCTGGTCTGCCTTCTTCTCAGGGGATCTGGGCATAGTCAGGGCAGGGAAAGGCTGTTTGGTTTCCTCTGGCTCAGGCTCACCTGTCAGCGGGGCCGCCAGGCCGGACGTAGGTCAGGACGAGCGGGCGGGTCTTGTGTACATCTTCATGGGCACCCCCTGGACAGAATTCAACAGGAGGTGGCAGTCATCCACCCACTCTTTCCCTGATACCTAGAGCCCCTGACTCAGCCCTAAGCCGGCTCCCTTCATTAAATCTGTTTGAGGACCTGTCCTTGCTATTCACAGGCCCTCTTATAAGATTCCAACTATAAATCCCCACAGAGTGGGACAGAAAGTAGGGACATGACCGAAATCCTCTCTCTCTCTTAAATGGTTTGCTTCCCTTCCTATGATGCCATCCTATTTTCCTTTTTGCCCTGGTTCCGAGGCAGCTCTAAACTTTGTTCTCAATCTCACTCCCAGCAATCATGCACACTTCATTTCTTGGCAAATTTTTCCATTTAACATTTGACTTAATGGTCCTCAGTTCTTTTTTTTTTTTTAAGATTTTATTTATTTATTTGAGAGAGAGAGAATGAGAGATAGAAAGCACGAGAGGGAAGAGGGTCAGAGGGAGAAGCAGACTCTCCCCGCTGAGCAGGAAGCCCGATGCGGGACTCGATCCTGGGACTCCAGGATCACGACCTGAGCCGAAGGCAGTCGCTTAACCGACTGAGCCACCCAGGCGCCCTCTCAGTTCTTTGAAGTCAGAAGCAAGAAGCTATCTATCTATTAATCTATCTATCCGTATAAAGCAAAACAGAACACACATGGAATCAGCATTAGCCTCCCTCCCGCCCCTTGACCCCAAGTGTGACTCTTACACTGACCTCTGAGGACAAAGCCAAAGCTATTGCCCTCCTTGTACAGGGAGACGTCCACTGTCTTTGTGATGATCCCTGGGTTGTTCTCAGGGGCTGGGGAGAAATGGAGGGCTCCTTTGAGTCCCTCAGTCACATCACCAAGCCACAGACATCCCCAAAGCTCATTCCGGGAGAGCTGGGTGAGCAGTCACAGAGATTACAGGGAGGGTAAATCCCCCCACCCCCACCCATTTACAGGTAGGACAAGTAAGACTTCAAGAGTTCTGCTGAACTCAGACTTGAGTCCATGGTTATGGGCTCAGGCCAGGGTTGAATTCTAGTTATTCAAATCTCAAGACTTTAGACCAACTTTGAAAATTCAGACCTAGGCCAAACCCTAGGCCACTGTGCTCAATGCAGGCTGGTAGGGTGGAGAGAGCAGTAGGACAGGGAACAATTTTTTTAGCCAACATTCCCCAAACCTTCCCCCCTGAAGGAAAAGCATCTGAGCACTAACTATACAAAATGACACTGGTTTATAAACAGGGCCCTGCCGCCTCCTGGTGACAGCATACTGCAATTGTAGGCAAAGTCCCTAGGTGCGGCTTAGATGTTTGTGGCCAATCCTCAGGTCCAACCCACCCAGGTCCCCAGCTGGCATGGACCCCACCACCCAGGTGCTGGTGGGGAGATGGCTGTGTCTACCCATGACTAAGGCAGTGGAGAAAGTTCCCCGTCCAAGGGCACCCACCGGGCGGGGGCAGCTCATACTCCACCTCCAGCACCACGCGCTCGCCCACATTCTTGAGCAGGGTGATGATCTCATCATGGCGGAGCCTGGTCAGATGGATCCCATTCACTGACCGAATATAGTCGCCCACGTTCAGCAGGTCACTCCTGGGAGCAAGGAGGCCAGACCACATGCATGGTGACAAGTGCCGGCATCCACACCCTCTCTTCTGTTGAATCCTTTTGATTTCTGAATCCCCATTTTACTGATGGGGAAGCTGTGGCTCAGAGAGGTCAGACATCGTCCAGGGTCACACAGCGAGTTAGTAAGAGAGCGTGGGTTCTAACCTGGACCTGTCTGACACCCAGGCCTGGCATTTCCCCCTGCTGGGGTGTTACCCTCCTGATGAAGGCTCTGATCAGCCCCAAGGAGCTTGCAAGAGTGGCCAGATCATCTCCCCCTTTGCTAGTTCCTAAAGCACTCACCCTGGCTTCTGACTACTAATCTGTTCTGTTCCACTGGACACTTACCAGCGCCTGCCCTGAACGAGGCCCAGAGAGGCTAACCCCTAGGTCTCATGGAATTCATGGTCTAAGGGAGCCACATAGGAACGATGGCAGGAAAATCCAGAGCAATGTGTCCAGAAGTGGCACCCAGGGCCGTGTGAGCAGGACAGCTGCCTCGCCCTGGCCAGAGGCAGTGTGGGTGGGGGTGGGGGGCGAATAGGAGTCTGCCAGTGGGGAACAGGCCTTCCGAGAAGGTAACTGCACATGCAAAGGTCTGGAGGGCCTGGCAAGAGTGGGATGCTGTGGCCGAGTCAGCCCCCTGAGTAAAGGGAAGAGAAGCTGGGGCCTAGAATTACAACCTCCACTGGAGGCTTCCCTCCAAGAAGCACTTGGGTGCTCCTAGAAACACCCACCTGATCGCTTTGCCTACAGCCCTGGTCCATTTTCCACCGGCCCACCGGCCCCTGGCCCTTTCCTACTGCCCCGCCAAGCCTCCTCCTCACCTGGCAGCAAGCCCCCCCGGTCTCAGGTTGGAGACCCTGGGCTTCCCATCCTTGTCGGTGCCACCTGAGATGGTCAGGCCCAGCGTGCTGCCTTCCTTCTTGATCAGCTCCACCATGGTGACCCCACGGAACTCCTCTGTCAACAGACGGGGGGTGAGCAGGCAGCATGGGGCAATTCCGGACCCCCAGCTCCAATACAACTGAGACCAACACTTGGTAAATGGGGCACCTGGCCACAAAATGCTGAGTAAGATCACCGCCCTTTTACACCAGAGGATCAGTGAAGTTAAGTGATTGGTCTAAGGTCACAGAGCAAGTTAGCGGCAAAGCCAATGCCATCTGACTCCAACTCTGAGCTCTCCGTGCCTCCAGGACAGACAAGGAGGAAGGAGAGGAGGCTCCTTACCTGGAATGCTCTGTCTGCGGCATGCCAGGGCCATGTCTGTCCCTCCCGCATCCTTGCCTCCTTTGGAGTAAGGTCCATCGTCTGCAGGCAAGAAAGAGAAAAAGCCCCGAGTCGCACTTTCATTTCAGTGCAGGAGAACGCTTTCAGCCTTGGGAATCTTCTGGTTGGCGGATGTGGCCTGGAAGAGGGGGTTCCTTCTGCCACCAGCTCCACCAGAGTCTCCGCTGGGCCATCCTCATGGCTCCTCCCCCTCCCCCCCCTCCACCGCCAGAGGCTCCATCTCTGCCCTTGGGCTGAATAACCTTCTGAACAGCGATGATATACAGGGAGCTTCACAGCTATTCTGTGGGTAACCATCTCCACAATGTAAGTATGGGCAGGATTATTCTACCGTACAGATAAAGGAGCTCAGGATCCCAGCGGGCTACTCAGGCCCCCAGGCACACAGCTGGGGAATTGTGCAATTTGAATTAGAATGCAGGTCTCCGGACTCCACCACCTGGGGCCGTGCTTGCACACCTGCTGGGACAGGCAGCTCTCACACACGGGTACCACCGCACATGTGAGACAGTGCCCACCGTGAGCAAACTCAATCTTGAACGGACCCAATTAGTGCTTCTTCTTGAGGACTGAACTTTAGGGTTTACAATTCATATTAACATACATTCTAGGCAGCCAGAGATAAGTCTGTCTCCTTTAGTTTTAATTCTAGAAAACACTCTCCTTTTATTTCCTTAAGTGTTGTTTCCTTCCCTCTCTTACGAAACGCTTAATGGATATTCCTTGAGACTTTGCATTTTTCTCTCCCACGACCCATCACCTCTCTCTATCACATTTCCTACTTCTGTATCTCTAGGGATGTCTCATCTGCAGTAACATCTGCCTTTTTAATGTTTGGAGAAGTGTGTCATTGATTTCAAACATAAGGAAAATAGACTAGTACAACGCAGAGGTTCTCAAAGGAGGGTCCCTAGCCCAGCATCACCCGGGGAACTTGTCAGAAATGCAAATTCTCAGGCCCCACCTAGGATGGAGTAAATTAGAAACTTGGAGTGTGGGGTTCAGCAATCTGCAGGTGCGTATGTTTTAGTGTATTACCCTAACTTATATTTTCATCTATTTTTAAAATCTTATAGACATTAAAATTAATTCTTTGTGGTGTGCTTTTCTCTGGGTTTTGGGAAATGTGTCCTGACCACCACCACAGTCAGGATTTAGAACATTTCCATCGCCCCCAAAATTCTCCCTTGCTGCCCCTCTGTAAACAGTCCCTGCCTCACCCCCCGCCCCCAACTACCAATGGTCTGTTTTCTCTCTAAATAATTCTGGCTTCCCTAGAATGCCATAAAAATAGAATCATACAGTGTGTGGGCTTTGGAGTCTAGTTTCTTTCATTTAGCATCACCATTTGAGATTCACACATGTTTTTTCACGGATCAGTAGTCTGTTCCTCTTTACTGCTGACTGGTGTTCGATTGCAGGGATGATGTACTGTGTGCTTAGCCATTCACCTGCTGAAAGACATTTCTACTCTTTCCAGTTTGGGGTGATTTCATAGGAGTCCGTAATAAATATCTGCATACAAGTTTTTGTTTGAACATCACATTCCATTCCACCTAGGTCAATATCCAGGAATGGGATTCTGGGTCATATAGCAAGGATGAGGTTAACTTTGTAAGAAACTGCCCATCTGGTTTTCAAAGTGGCTACAACATAGAGGGGAGCACATCCCCCAGTAATGGATGAATGCTTCACATTCTCGCCAGCATTTGGCAATGTTAGTTAGGGTTTTTTGTTTTTTTTTTTTTTAATTCTAGACATTCTAATAGATATGTATAAGTTTCTTATTGTGGCTTTTTTAAAGATTTTTTTTTTTTAAGATTTCATTTATTTATTCGACAGAGAGACAAAGCGAGAAAAGGAACACAAGCAGGGGGAATGGGAGAGGGAGAAGCAGGCTTCCCGCTGAGCAGGGAGCCTGATGTGGGGCTTGATCCCAGGACCCTGAGATCATGACCTGAGCCGAAGGCAGACGCCTAATGAATAAGCCACCCAGGCGCCCCAAGATTTTATTTTTAAGTAAACTCTACACCCAACGTGGGGCTGGAACTCACAACCCTGAGATCAAGAGTCACATGCTCTACTGACTAAGCCAGCCAGGCGTCCCTCTTACTGTGTTTTTAAATGTGCATTTGCCTAATGGCTGACGATGTCGTATGCTTCTCCTTATTTGCCATCCATACATATCTTCATTGGTGAAGTGTCTATCCAAAGTTTTTGTCCATTTTTAAGTTGGGTTGTTTTCTTGTTATCAAATTTTTATATATTCTGGACACAAGTCCTTTGTCAGATACAATAATCTATGTTTGGCAAAGGTGACTCTGTTCACACTGAAGTTTGAGAACCACTGGTATAATGAGTCCTATTTACCCAACATCTAGTTTTAACAATTATTAACACTGTCATATTTATTCCACATATTTTTATCTATGTTGAAATATTTTATTTATTATATTTATTTTTTTTAGAGATTTACTTATTTGCTAGAGAGTGTGTGTGTGTGTGTGTGTGTGTAACCAGGGGGGAGAGGCAGAAGGAGAGGGAGAGAGAGTCTCAAGCAGACTCTGAGCTAAGCACAGAGCCCAAAGCAGGGCTCCATCTCATGACCCTGAGATCATGACCTGAGTTGAGACAAAGAGTTGGTCGCTTAACCAAATGAGCCACTCAGGCTCCCCTCTATGTTGAAATACTTTAAAACAAACCCCAAACATGATAAAATTACACCTCTAAATATTTCAGTATGCATTAAAAAAATAGGAACATATTTCTTATCCAACAAAATACCATTATCACACCTTACAAAATTAAAATGATTCCTTAATTATTAATTTAATACTCACTCCATATACAAATCTTCCCAATTCCAACGAGCCTTTAATTTCAACAAGTACATTTTTGGTTTTGGAAAGCTTTGTTTGGTCCTTTTGCTTATATTCTCATTCTGCTTTCATATGCTGTTCTGTCCTTTTCTATTGTGCCTTTTATGTCTCTAATAATTTTAAATCTTTTCAATGTTCATGTTACTCAGTCTTCTATTTTCTCAGATTCTTGAGAGCTGTTTCTGCTGTCTGGGACATCTGATGACTCTCCCTCCCAGGGAACTATTTCCTCATGTGTTTGGTCAAGGTTAGACTGTGAGCTCATCTTTAGTGGGGCTTTATCTGTGGGAATCTTATTCAGCCTGGTTGCGAGCAGGTCCCTCCAGGGTCCAGAGAGCATTTGCAATTTCTTCCCCTCAGTGCCTGCCAAGGCATCATTACCAACACCTTGGCTCAGGGATTCTGGAACCAGGGGCATAGTGTGAATTACAACCTTCGACAGAAACAAGGGGCACATCTCAGGTCACAAATTCTCAAAGGAGACCGCCCAAGATTTAGTTGAGACAGACATGCTCTCTCTTTGGTAGATGCACGGATATCTTCTAAATCCCCACTTTCACCGAGAGTATATCTTTTTAAAGGTCCTGGCTTTCTGCTGGGGTGTGAGTTCCAACTGGAGAAAGAATAAGGGGCATCATCTCCTGTACCCTTAAGCTATTAAAACCCAAGCCCTTGGTTAGAGACCAGCTAACACCCTCATTCCTGCTACCACCCCAAAAGGGAAGCCTCAGCATCAGCCTACACTCATCCTACCATTTTTCGGTTTTCTCTTCGTTTTTTTGGATGAGAAATGTATAGAATTTATAGATCAATCTGTGGACAGGTGACATCTTTACAATACTGGGTCTTCCAATCAATAAACATGGTATATTCTTTCATTTATTTTTGTCTTCTTTAATCTCTGCCAAGAATATTATGTATTTTCATGGGCAAAGATCTTGTACATCTTTCTTTAAATATATTTCTAGATATTTGAAGTGTTTTTTTTAAATAAAGATTTCATTTATTTATTTGACAGAGAGAGACACAGCGAGAGAGGGAACACAAGCAGGGGGAGTGGGAGAGGGAGAAGCAGGCTCCCCGCAGAGCAGGAAGCCCGGTGCAGGGCTGAGGGCTCGATCCCAGGACCCTGGGATCATTATCTGAGCCTGAAGGCAGACGCTTAACAACTGAGCCACCCAGGCACCCCGATATTTGAAGTGTTTTAATGCTATTGTAAATTAGATTTTCAAATTTAATTTTCTAATCATTTGTTGCTGGTATATAATGATACAGTTAATTTTGTATTCTGACCTTTAAAATCCCCATATTAATTCTAATCATTTATCTGTAGGTTCTTTAGGATTTTCTGTCATCTGTGAAAAATGAGAATTTTATTTCTCACTTTCTAAACTTCATACTTTTTATTTTTGTTATTTGCCTTTTTGCACCGGCAAGACATCCAGTACAAAATTGATATAAGTGGTTATACAGACCAGGCTTATCTCCTCTCCAGCTCACCCTCTTCATTTCCTGTGAATTCATCTGTGCATCTCAAAGGAGTTTGAAGCTGGAAGGTTTCAGGTTACCTGCTCTGTGAGAATGCCAGAGCCCTTGCCTCCCCTCGGCACCTCCTTGTCTTAGGCACCATGCATATTCTGGATTCTCCTGAATGCCCTGACAGGTGAGGGAAAGGGGGCTCACGCGTCATGCACCAACCACCCACACTATCCCCTTCTATCTCGCTCACTTCTCACAGTGGCCCTGGGAGGAGGCAGATGCTACTACTTGACAGAGGAGAAAACTTGTGACTTGACTTCCACTTGACAGAGGAGAAAATTTGTGACTCAGAGGGGCAAAGTCCTTAGCCAAGGCAGCTTCTGCAAAAAGCCAGGACCCGACCCCAGGCCCCTTGCCCATGCCACCCCATGTTCCAGGCTCTCTGGACCAGGTTATTTTTTTCACACTCCTTCTCCAGGCCCTTTCTCAGCACCGGACTGAGCTGAGCAGACGAGTGACAAACCATCAGGCTGGCAGGCTTTCCCCTGCTGCCCCAGGGGGCCACCCCTCCCAGCATCAGGTATGTTCCTTGGGCTTCCACAGCTTCCTTGGGCCTCACTTGAGCCTGCACACGGCCCCGCCTGCTCTGGAAGAACTCTCCAG